ATGGTCGATCAAAGTTTTAAATAGGAATATGTAGGAAAAATCTTTTAAAATCTTCTTCTCAAGAACCATTGAGACAGGAAAAATGAAACTTATGTGGAATTATCCTCAGGTAATGTAGATTCGAATTTGTTCAAATCATAACCCCCGGGGTCAGGGAGGGGCCAAAATGGCCGACCAATGTTTCTCAGGAATATATAGGGAAACCTTTTAAAATCTTCTTTTCAAGTACTTCAAAGCCATGATTAGTAATATTTATATGGAATTATCCTCAGGTAGTGTAGATTTCAGGTTCGTCCAAATCATGATCCCCTGGGGGGGGGGTTAAAATTCTAGCCCCTCCCCCCAACCTTGTAAAACTTTCAGTTCTGATCTGATATGTGCTTTTTCCTAGCTGATGTGCCCAGGTGAGCGCTGTGGCCCATGAGCCTCTTGTTTTTAAGTGACACTTGTCATTGAGTTTCGTTGAAATGTACACGTTACACACATAACATTAATGTAAATTGACTGCCGCTATCCGCAATCGTACGAATTGGGGGAAAATGCCGGAACAAACTGTGCTGCATTTTGCATTTTTACTTAAAAAATGAGGAAATTTTCAGTAGGGACACTTACTTTGATTGGTCAGACTTACGGTGAAAAGAACGTAAATTAGAGTCTTGGTTAAAGGTGGTTTCAGAGATTTTGGAGGTTGATAGGCCATTGAATGATTATCAGAGAACGGGAACAGTGGCGGATTTAAGGGGGGGGGGGCGCACCCGGCGCACACCAAAGTTAACGTAAATCAGTTTTATCTACAAAATGTTAATATGTATACTTGGTAGACCTCATTTTTACCCTACAAAATCTCTAAAATCCAGGAGCTTCCTGGGGGCCTCAAGGCGGCCCCCAGACCTTTTGCCTACTTTTGGTGCGCCGCCTCTAACTTCAATTCCTGGATCCGCGCCTGGGGAAAACCAAAAAATTAGTATGTCGGCCGGAAACCTTTTACTGGTGTCTGATGTTGTCAAAAAACATGTGTGTATCTGTTGTGTAACGGAATATGAAGACTTTTTTCTATGGTACTGTTGGAAGAATATAGACAAAGAACTTAAAAATTAAATATCGTTAATGTGCAACGTTTGAATGTCTATTACATGAATTTATATAGGTGCGGCGACATCCCAAATCGCACGTTGTATAAAATCTAATTTTTAAAAGTATAAATCCTGTCGAATTGATTTTTTTTAGGTTTTCAGGTTTGATTTGAAATAAGTAAACCTTTCGTCATTTAAAATTTTTTATGTCGACTATTATAAATTTATCGAAGTTGTAACATTACTTTTGGATCAGCCCAAGTAGTTTCCCAGATATCAGGAGGGGATAAGATCTTAATTAAATAAAAGATATTTCTATATGCTGCTTAAAGTCTAATTTAAACAATTATAAATGGAATAAATCACAGATAATTGTACCATGTTCATGTTAAGTTTTTATTGTAGGAAAGTGCCTTTTTGACAAAGTTTAAAGCGCCAAATCCATCTCATGAACACATTTACCAAATAAAACCAAATTTTCAATACTCTCTATGTACCCATATATTCACATAATTCTTGCCAGGAATCAGTTAATAAATTTGGTAACTTTAAATTATGAGGAATAAGATCATAATCTTTTTTTTAATTACGCCGCACAGTATAAAAATGTTTACATGTATTTTCAAAAATCTTTTTTGCATGCAAGGGGATTAAACTCTTTTTTGGAATCGTGCATATTCTAGTTGTGTATAAAACTGATATACCTATTTTATCATATGCCTCTTGTTCAATTATCTTCTAAATAATTAAGCTCTATCAACAAATTAAGTACAGTTGTAAAACTCCAATAGGTTTTAATTAACTATGAAAATGGTTAACCTTTTGAAGATTTTTAAAAAGGCTAAATATTCATCATAAAACCTTCCGATTATCTTCATAATAGAAATAATGCATAAAGTTTAAAGAATCTTTCCTTTTAATATAAGAATAATTTGTAGCGGTTTTAAGAAAATACAAAGATCTAAGCTTCATTGAACTTAAGTGAAGACATTTCTTTACTATTGCAAAAACTTTGATATTATAATAAACCATAAACTTACTTCAATAAAGATAAGCATGTAACTAGCATACAAATCTAAACCCTAACCCTTCTGGACATCTCCAGTCTTGCAAATCAGTATAATATGCATCAGATTTGATACTCATTCTAAGTCTTGTCACGACAGAAGATCCTGTCTCTGTGATTTAAATGTCCGTGTTGATTCTGTGCATAAGTTATGAAGAGTGTTTATTACCAGTATTTTCACACATATTTTTCTTTTACATTTCTGGATGTCTCCTTATTTTAATACAGTTATATTCACTCTGAAAATGCTTATTTGAAAAAAGAAAGTCAGAATACGGAACATCAAACGGCATCAAATTGTCATTGTTTTATACACGATGCACCAATTCTACATTTATCCGGAGTAGGAGGGCTTGTCAATTTAGTCCAAGATTTTTTTTTCTATTTTTGAAATAAGAAGATCTTGTACCGATATTCCATGCGTTTCTGCGCAGTATTTGCCATGATATAATTTCAAAATATTATGAGATGAAATCCTTCATGCTATAAGAAAAATATATGATTTTTATTTTGAAATTGTCATGAAAGTATTAAGGAAAGGTAACTCTATGTGGCTTATACCCTACTGAAAATTAAATATGTAGTATCTTCAACAATTTAGTCGAGGCATTTTAAAAATTACCCATGAAAAAGAACCACGTACTACACCTAATTTAAGAAATGCAAATAAACATTTTTTTTTACTTTCTTTTAGATATACCCAGGTATTAACGACGAAGTTTTTTGATATTAAAATAAACTGTTATTTCAAGTACAAATGAAATTCCAAAATTTTAAATCATTTGATTGGGCATTTGATCCCACTTTGATGTTTGGTCTGACCAGGTTGTACTTTTGGAATGGACCTTTGAGCTTGAACACTGCTTATTATCTTCATTTATCCACAACAGCATTATGTTGAAAAAAAATCATCCCAACTATAAATAAAGAACAAGGAACTTGACAATCAAAAAGATACCAGAGCTCCTCATTTCACAATAGGTATTAAGTTTTTGTCATGCTGTTCAATAATTCTGATGGACAACATTTGTGCTTCTTAACTAACATTTTGACAAGGAATTATTTATATTAAACCTTACTTCGGGTATTGCTAAGGCCTTCAATTTGTCAAATGGATACATCTTCGACGTTTCAAAAATTATTAATTTTTCACATTCATATGTCTACTAAAAGTATGAAATATAAAGGTAAAGAAAGGTAGTCGAAATAATACCAAATTGGAGAAGACAATGAACTCTTAAATTATTACTGATCTGCTTCAACAGAAGAATGTGTCTTGTCCTGATCGAGATAACGATTTTTTTTTACCAATTTAGCGTGTAAATAACGGTCTAACAATAAGTCTGATAAGTGCTCCTGAAGTTTTTCCTTCACTGCTGTTAATATTTTAGAGAGAAAAAAAAGGACGATGCTTGAAAGAACATCCCTTATGTATCTTTGTAAGGATTTTTTATTCAATTCAGGATACATTTGAAAATCTCATATTCAATTTAATTGTTGTTCCATTCCTATGTGGATACGATATATCCTGGTGAGCTTGGAATAAAAGGTACAACAGGGTCTAACACATTTGCGGAGGGGACCTAGCTGAGAGTATACAATAGCCATAGTCAATAGTCAATTAACAATGGTAATTTCCATTCCTACGTCGATACGATATATCCTGGGGAGCTTGAGATAAAACATACCACAGAGTCTAACATCTGTTTCATACTTGGATATTTTACTTGAAAAGACATTAATGGTAATCTAACAACCAAGCTTTGTGATAAACGTGATGCCTTTTCTATCGACAACTTCCCTTACTTATGTAGCAATATGCCTTCATCACCTGCATACGAAGTTCATACATCTCAGTTAATTCGATACGCATGAGCATGCTTCACGTATGAACAATTTCTTAAATGAAGTAAATTATTGACAAAGAAGTTGATGAAAAAAGAATATCAGCAGTCTCATTTTAAGTCATCATTTCGTAAGTTCTATGGTCGATACAATGACCTTGTCAGCAAATACAATTTATCTTTGAGTCAAATGCTGACTGACGTTTTTCATACTTATTGTTAGTCCATTATTTATACAATGAATTGACGACGGATTTTCCCGTTATTTCCCGATCATGACAAGGAGCACTAGGCGGGTGTGACCGGTCGGAAGGGGATGCTTACTCCTCCATGGCACCTGATCCCACCTCTGATCTTTCGGAGGTCCGTGTTTGCTCTGCTCCTATTAAGAATTGATTTATAGACTTTGATATTGAGTACTGTTTGTTATCTCCATATCCTTCATTTGGAATATTGAAAATATTTATAAAGGACTAAGAAAGATTACTTAGAAAGGGAAAAGGTATTTATTTGATAACTTAGTTGAAAATGCTTGTTTCTACACATTTTTCTTCTGCTATTTCTGCTATTGCTTTGTGCTGTAAAATAGACATGTCCTTTAATTGAAACTCTAATAGCCTGACTAGCAAGACTTTATATAGATCTAGAATGAAAGAAAACGTACTGCAACAATTGTTTAATCACTCATAATTTAAGCCTTAGTAATGATAACGTAAAACAGTTTGAAAATTTAACAAATCTGATTCGATGAATAAATAAGGGAAAAAACTAAAACAATTTAAAAGGAGAACAATTATTTGGATTTAGCATAACTGCAACTCAAAAAATTTAAAAAATAAACTTCAGGTATGCTTTTTGATAACAAAACTAGTTGAAAAGTGCTTGTTTTACAAATCTTTCTTCTGCTATTTCTGCTCTCTCTCATTGTTTTGTGCTGTAAAAGTCAAATGGTCTTGGATTAATTGAAAGTCTAATAGCCTGACTAGCAAGACTTTATATCTAGAATGAAAGAAAACGTACTGCAACAATTGTTTAATCACTCATAATTTTAACCTTAGTAATAAGATAACGTAAAACAGTTTGAAAATTTAACAAATCTGATTCGATGAATAAAAAGAAATACAAAAAACATAAAACAATTTAAAAGGAGAACAATTATTTGGATTTAAGCATAACTGCAACAAAAACATTTAAAAAATAAACTTCATTAACGTTAATGCTTTTTGTATCAAAACTGAGTTCTTGGCCAAAAGTTGGCTGCGTTAAATTACTGAAATCTTGCATATGCCGACAAACATTTATTATCAATGTCACTCTCTCTCATGGTGTTTTCGATTCAGGAAAAGTCAAATGGTCTTGGATCTGTTTGGGGAGGCTTTCTTCTGACAAACACACGACTGGAACCTTCCTCCGGATAAACCCTACTAATTCTCTTATGATGCAGCTCTCTAAAAACAATTTGAATTGTCCTTTTATTTTAATTAAATTGTGAAGACCTAATAAATCATTAAAATGCCAAACTATCCTCAGTATAGATACAATATGAACAAAAATCGAATCACATATAAAAACAGGTGTTAAAATTTTCTTACAGAAGATATTGATATCAAACTTTTACTGAAGGGTGCATCCCTAAATTAGCTTTGGGATTCTATGGTCAATACTTGTAAAATTATTGGGAGATAACCCCCCTTCAGTGTTCAACTATTATTAGTATAGATATAATATGGGTAAGAAAATCTCTAATCACATGTAAAGACAGGCATTTGAGGGGAATTCTCTGAAAGAAGTTAATGATATCAAACTGATGAATGTATTCGTAAATTAGCTTAAGTTTTTCTATGATTAATACTGGAAAATTATTTAGGAGATATGCCCCCTTCCCTAAGTGCTCCTTGGGCCATTTCAAAAGAATAGATATATCAATTAATAGATATACGATTGTTTTAAATTCAGGAAGTTTGAAATATTTTAGTTATTAGTACTTTAAGATTTTTATCCATGTAATATATAGTAAAATCGCAAAGTAGACCCAGTAGGGCTAAAGTGGAATAACCACCTGTCTATCCTCAACGTACACTACTCTGAAGGGCTATTAAATGTTTTTATTTGTTTTGATTCTAAACGGTTTGCACCAGTGACAAGGATAAAAACAAACTAAAAACGAAGATACAGAAGGGCTGTAGATTGGAATACGATCAAAACACCTAGTGCCAGCAATCAGAAGGAGCCCGGGGAAAGGTACACGGCACCAAGCCAAAGAGTTACCCGGTCATTAGAATTCAGCCCACTTAATATACTCTGTGATTAGAGATATCAGAAAACCAAGAAAAAATATATACTGTACATATTCAAATGCTTGATCATAAACTCGGGTAGAGTAAGAGAAAAAATCATCCCCTGAGAACCCTACGCAGAGGTACACATTACAATACATTTTCAGGAACAGTATATAAAATCATAAACTTACTTTTTGCGTGTTTTAATATACACTATAAAGGCCACAATGACAAGGAATACCACGCCTCCTACAGATATACCGATGTATAGCAGCAGATTATCAGGCTCTGTAAAGAGAACGTCAAGTCTTGCTATATTTATTGATTATTTCAAATATTGAAAGAATCAAGATTTGAAGTATTATAAATTTATTTAGAAATAAATCCTTTGAAAACGATCATTCCAAAAAAGTTCTCAGAGGACAAAAGTAAGAGATAATTCTAATTTGAATTTTCATTTCTAACATTTGATGACATACAGATAGTTCTTCCATAATGATTATAGGTTTAAAAAACCTCAAAACAAAATTACCTGTCTGTGGCAAACTTGTATTATTTGCAAAACCGGGCTGAAATAAAATTAAAATAAAAATTTAAAAAAATTCTTTGTTGCATATTTTATCTAAATTAGATATAAATGAAACTTTCTGTCTCCAACAAAGTCAGATATTGCAATAAGAAAAAATGAACATCTTGAAGAAATATACATGTGTAGATGCAACAAATATTTCTTACAATTACTTTACAAACTGAGTCGCCACACATTTTTAAAGTTTTATCGAATTTATCAGAATATTTTCACACTTATTTAATATCTAACTTTACCTTAAATATGATTATCAGAGTTGACGCTTTTTTTTTCTGTATATTACATTACAAGTCCTTCATATCAGAATAGAAGCCGTATAAACATTTTATTTATTTTGTCATACATGATGGTGTACACACGTTTTGTTTTTTCTTACCTTTACTGTACATATCAGAGTCGTCGCTTCACAACTTTCGGTCACACTGTTAAACAGAAGGATTGTGGTCGAGTTTCCAAACGAAGTTCCGTCATAACTTAGCTTGATTATCCAACCATATATGTTACTTCCGGCAGACCGTTTGCGCCTGCGTGAGGATGGAGAATCCGGAAGTGAAACAGTAACGAGGTTCATATGTCGATATGTGACATTTGTAGATACAGAGTAGTCTTGTATATCCATACCGTTGCTTGTCGACTAAGTGGAAAATTGACTAACCTTATTATATAAGTTTGCAAAACTATTATTGGTTAACCTCTTCTACAATTTTTACTTTTTAAAATTGTGTTTAAATTTGTGTAAAGTTATAGAAAACAACAAAAATAAAATTGAATGTGTTTTCCGACATTACCGTTAATCTCATTGCCAAAGCAAAAAAATTATAATAAAGCAAATAATAACATATTTTTACAATTAAATTACATACCTTCAATTTTTAAACTGATATCAATGTTAGAAATCAAAATCTAATGAATTTAGATTAAAAAAAAAAGATTCCTTTACTAAGCGGTTTTTACTCTGATATTCAAGAAATACATGTCGATAACTCATTAAATAGTCAAATTATATTATCTTATTCCATATGTTTTCTGCATATAAATATTATTCTTTTTTTACCTGAAAGTACGTCAAATGGGCAATAATATTTTCGGAATTAAAAGTTCCCACCACGTTTGTTTTCCTACATGCCCGTTTACTGGTGTCACAGAGCCCGTGCTCGGGGACGGAGAGATCAGAGGGAGGGACCGACAGCTGTGAGGAACAGTCATCCCCTATGTAGCCCTCATTACACAGACAAGTCTCTGTCAGGAAAATCAGTGTATGTAAACAATAATTAACATTTATATTGGGGTAAGGTTGTTTATCCTTAGTATACTTCTTTTAGTATCATTCAATTAACAGTAATGAAGTCTCAAACTTACTAGGATCAATATTATTTTAGATTGCATTTACTAGGAATGGCAATGTTATAAATAAAAAAGAATTATTTATTACAAACTGCCATAAAGGACGAATTATTTTTGATAAATGAAAATATGTGAGATAACGAACAGTATTCAAGCTCAATAAACAAAACATACGAATCATTAAACATTTTGAGGCCTACCGTTGACACAGGTCCCTTTCTGTGAGCAGTTATTTGGACAAACCATGGTTGATAACATGTCCAGGACACTGATACCGTCGCCATCTGTACTGTTAGAACTAGAGTTATCGGACTTTTGGAAACTCTCGTCACGTGACGCGGTCGTTACACATTCTTTTTTTAGAGTGTCCAGTGTTGCCTCCACAAAGTCTGTGTTGCCTATTTTCTGGACAGATTTTATTGAAAAAAAAACAACATGCTTCATTATGTAAACTTAACAAAATTCCCATGTCAAAAGTTCTAGTGCTTTTTTTTAAATTTCTTACCTCAATATCACTTATACAGCCATTAATATACTTTGCTATGCTGGTGTTGACTTGCTCTATACAGAAGGATACAACGGGGTCAAGGGCAAATGTCTTGTTACAGTAGTCCGTGGCTGATGTCTCATTCCAACCGTTTGTCCATGTGGCCTCCTGTAATAATTAGTCAAACTCACACAATACACAAATAAAAAAAAATGATTCTTACAGAATTTTAGTAGAGTACATGTATCTTGGAATTGATTTTGTTGATTAAATTCCGGAAAATTCTTTTTGAAATTCTTTTACTTATTTAATAAATGATAAATAGACCCACAGGAAGTTCTATTGTGTCGTTGTATTCTGGGTCGTAGCCGAACTCTTCCTCCTCGTCATCCATGACGTCATCAGAGTCTACCGTATCACGTTTCCTTCGGTTCTGTGAGCAGACGTTCACGACCTGTCTGACGCCTCTAGAGCAGGGTTCTGTAGGAGCTTCTAGGTTACATTTGGCATAGTTCCAACTGTAAGAACTTCGAACACTCCAGTACGAGGAACACGTGCAAAATTTTGTGAGATAAACAGGATCAGTCTTGGAAACTCTAAAATAACAGGTTGCTTGTCGTAAAATTACATTTAAAATATTTTTCAAAATTTTTCCTTTCAAAATTTTTTTTTTATAAAAATATAGAGGAAAAAAAAATGATGACGCTACATACGATCCATCACCGGAGAGAGCCCTTGGGTTCTTTGCAAAAAGACTGTCTCTCCAAGTAACCCTGAAATAGTGTTTTAATTTAAATTAGACAAACATTCCTTGCATGACGGTAAGGGGGCATGGAGAGGTTTTCAGCTGTGAAAAAAATATTTTAAACAACTAGTTGATCATTTTACTTTTAATATAAACATTCCTTTTTTTTTTTTTTATTTTTTAGATTTTCTCTACCTGTTTTTTTTTTACAGAAAGAAAAAACGAATTTCTAATTTTAAGTGGGTAAATGCTTTTTGTGTTTTCTAGAGTCTCGTTTTATGATTGATTATTGGTGTTTTATGCCGAGTCGGCAAAATTTCAGCTATATTTTGGCGGTAAGTTTCGTTTTAAGTTAAGATGTTATATAAAGATATTAATATTGCTTTTTCTCTAATTTTCATCAGAGAGTACCAGTATCTGTATGGAAAATGCAATTAAATTGAGTGTTCAGTTAATTTATCAATGCCATCAAAATAAGGATGCTTAAAGTGATGAAAAATGGAATATTAAACAGCAGTTTTAAGTTTAATTTATCTTGTATCCAAGGACAGATTAATCTAACTGCGTAAATTACCAAATGATTAGAACTCATATATGCTTTTTTTTTTTTATAAAGAGTCCTAATTGAGTATTTTCCTGTAATACACTGCACACCTGAAATAAGACTGAATTTTATTCGTACCTCCAAGACAGAGTGAATTTGTTCTTGTTCCAGGTTGAGCTGGACTCTCCCCTCGGGATAAAATCGTCATACCGGTTGCCATTATAGTTCCCACACATGCCCTCTACGTTCTGGGCGTCCAGGGTAGAGGACACTATTTGGATAGACGTGATCCATCTAGACCTTCTGTTAATGTAGAATCCAATCTCAGTGCCACTTCCCAGCGTTACCTAAAATACACCGAAATACATGTATTATACAAATACTTACGTAGATTGATTGATTGTATATTGTTTAACGTCCCTCTCGAGAATTTTTTCACTCATATGGAGACGCCACCATTTGCCGGTGGAGAGCTGCAAAACCTGTCCTGTACTCGGCACTCAGGGCCATTGAGCAGGGAGGGATCTTTTTCGTGCCAGCACTTACTGCGACAAGGGGCCTCGGTTTATACGGTCTCATCCGAAGGACCGGCCTCCATCTCCCGCAGTGGGATTCGAACCCGCGACGTAAAGATTGACTCTTTACTTCGCGACTCTAGAGCAGTTGCTTTAACCACTGCGCCACGCGGGCGACTTACTGACGTAGAGGACAATCAGAAGCCAATCTCATAAACCACTTTCTAAGGTTACCTATAGTACTTTAATACGATAACATATATTCAAGAACAAACATATTGAATAAGTAAGAAGAGTTAATATATCTCTTAATATCATGAAGTATAATTCTGTTAAATGAAAACTGCATGTACATGTTCTCCTTTCGTTGGGTTTTAATTTTTCTATCCTCTCTCTAGTAGTTCTACTGACGATATATCCATGCATACAGATCAGACATTTATTTGTATCCTTGTCTTACCATAGTTCAGCATACCCATATCGTAAAAACGTAAAATGAAATGAAACGTTAAACTTACCCTATACCAGGAATAGGTTTTCTGCACCACCATTTCGTCTTCATTACAGCCGCTGTACATTTCAAAAGGAATTCTCTTGAGTTTTCTTCGTCGGTATGATATTTCTACGCAGGTGCGAACAACATACAAGCTACTTCCGCTTCTAATTGCAACACCGCATGCGCAGGAAGCTCTCCTCCAAGGAAAGCACGAAGAGTATAAGACATGGACCTTTTCAACAGAGAGAAAAATGATTGCTAATAAAATCAATGAATGTCCGTATTGGGAATCATCTGGAATTTTAAATTGAAACATACAGAATACGGCAACTTTTTATGCTGGTACATGACGAATTCTCCAATTCTCTGGTTGGAATAAAAACGACGATCAAAGGTATAGAGGTACGGATCACTGAAGGAATAGCAGTAGTGTCCTCCATAGTCGGATTTATCATAGACAGATACCTGCAAATTGAATCTGTACATTTATATAATGTATTCTATAACATAAGATAAGCGTTTTATTCAATGTGATGTTTTTTTTTTGTTAAGTGCTAGGAATTTCTTTTAACATAAACTGAAATCTTTACATAAGATCATGATGTACCCATATAGTCTGTGGAACATTGATATTATTCCAGGCGTTAGAAACATCTGTTGGGTTTGTGGAAGATTCCAGCTTTATTCGTCCGTATCGCCTCCACCAGTTGCGTCTTCCATCTACGTACCCTGTGATGTTAAGTTGAACGGGTTCTCTCCAGTACTTGTACGGAAAGGACAACATGCAGCCATTATCTGGAAATGCTACATTCAAATTTGTGATACCATTCCGACACCAACGCCAATCCAGGGAGCGGATGTGAAGATTCCCCTTACATTTAGCCTCTTTCTCAGAATCTGTCATGGAGGCAGAGCAGCCAAGCGGAAGCGTACTTGTGACCGACACAGAAACGGTTTCTCCTTCTTCAACAGTGGTCCATGTTGTACTGAACTTAAATTTTATAAATACACGGGACATTATACGTTTAGATTGTTAAGAATAAACCAAGCTTTGCATGAGAAATTTAATGTTTTAAAAAATTATGTTGATAAAGATTAAATACATATATATTTAGCGAAATGTTGTAGCTTACCTTTATGCCTGCGAAAAAGGATGAACTTTTAAATGAATCTCCAGCAGGGCTGCATTTCACGTACTGGGCGCTCACTGAACATTTTACCTTAAAAGCAAAATCCATTCTAACTAAGCGGCAAAACAATCAAAAACAAATGAGCATGGTTAAAATGTACTGGTGAAATGTAAAGTAAAAGCGATGAAATTAATAACTTTTCAGAAGGTATAATCTATGCCTCAATAATAAGTTCTGTTTTCTCGTCACTTACATCCATGTTCATGCTATAGCGGTGTGTCCAATGCGAAGGACGGAGTACTGTTGTGTTAAGGTCAGCCTCGGCCACGTCATCAAATAAAGCTTTCTCCAAAAGATTGTTGTTGATAAACCATTTAAGGTTGTAAAAAAGACCGGACAAGGGCTTCGAGAAGAGACAGATCATCACAGGCTCGAATCTAGTACCGTCTGTAGAAAGCTGTCGATCGGCAACGACCTCAGGGGATAGGATGACTGTCGGTTTCCCAACCAAATCTTTAATTATAAAATAAAATGTCGTTATAGGACATAGAAAACCTTCAATCAACCACTACGGTGCTAATATTCCGTAACTATATTTCTCTTGGAAACGAAATAAGGATGGGATAAAAGATCCCTGGATAAATATCATACTTAAAAGATTGATATAAAATCATTAAGAGATAAGAATTTATTTACTACTTAAAATGCAAGCATTTGTTTGGATGATTCAAGGTAAGTAAGGTGTTATTCTAATGCATGCGCGTCACCGCATTTCATTGATAATAATAAGGTGGTCAATTAATACATCTCGAATACACTTACCCAGTGCATTAAGCGTAGTGACCACATTGACTGTTGGGGTAGAATTTGCAGCAGAATCCTCTGTTGTTGTATTATGAGATTTTGGTGTGTTTTCAGGCGTCGTAGAGTCCGTGACATTATAATTCTCGGTTGATGAGTAGTCTGTTGTGTTGTAAACTTCTGTTGTTGTGGAATCAGTTATGTTATAATCCTCTGTCGATGTAAAGTCTGTAGTGTTATAATCCTCAGTAGATGTAAAGTCTATAGTGTTATAATCCTCAGTGGATGTAAAGTCTGTAGTGTTATAAACTTCAGTGGATGTAAAGTCCGTGGTCTTATAATCCTCGGTGGATGTAAATTCCGTAGTGTTATAATCCTCTGTGGGTGTAAAGTCCGTGGTGGTATAAACCATGGTGGATGTAAAGTCCGTAGTGTTATAATCCTCTGTGGGTGTAAAGTCCGTAGTGTTGTAATCCTCCATGGATGTAAAGTCCGCTGTGTTATAATCCTCAGTAGATGTAAAGTCTGTAGTTTTATAATCCTCAGTGGATGTAAAGTCCGTAGTGTTATAAACTTCAGTGGATGTAGTGTTATAATTCTCAGTAGAGTCCATGGTGTTATAATCCTCAGTGGATGTAAAGTCCGTAGTGTTATAATCCTCGGTGGATGTAAAGTCTGCAGTGTTATAATCCTCAGTGGATGTAAAGTCTGTAGTGTTATAAACTTCAGTGGATGTAAAGTCCGTAGTGTTATAAACCTCAGTAAATGTAAAGTCTGTAGTGTTATAATCCTCAGTGGATGTAAAGTCTGTAGTGTTATAATCTTCAGTGGATGTAAAGTCCGTAGTGTTATAATCCTCAGTGGATGTAAAGTCCGTAGTGTTATAATCCTCAGTTGATATGAAATCCGTTGTGTTATAATCCTCTGTGGGTGTAAGGTCCGTGGTGTTATAATCCTCGGTGGATGTAAAATGTGTCATGTTGTAATCCGCGGTGGATGAAAAGTCCGTAGTTTTATGTTGTGTGTGCGATGTTGTGTTATAGTCCTCAGTGGATGTAAAGTCCATGGTGTTATAATCCTCAGTGGATGTAAAGTCCGTTGTGTTGTAATTTTCGGTGGATGTAAAGTCCGTTGTGTTATAATCCTCGGTGGATGTAAAGTCCGTTGTGTTATAATCCTCGGTGGATGTAAAGTCCGTTGTGTTATAATCCTCTGTGGGTGTGAAGTCGGTAGTGTTATAATCCTCGGTGGATGTAAAGTCCGTTGTGTTATAATCCGCGTTGAATGAAAAGTCCGTAGTTTTATAAACTTCAGTGGATGTAAAGTCCGTAGTGTTATAATCCTCGGTGAATGTAAAGTCCATTGTGTTATAATCCTCAGTGGATGCAAAGTCCGTTGTGTTATAATCCTCGGTGGATGTTAAGTCTGTTGTGTTATAATCCTCGGTGGAAGTAAAGTCCGTTGTTTTATAATCCTCTGTGGGTGTAAAGTCCGTGGTGTTATTATTCTCGGTGGATGTAAAGCCTGTTGTGTTATAATCCGCGGTGGATGTAAAGTCCGTTGTGTTATAATCCTCTATGGGTGTAAAGTCCGTTGTGTTATTATCTTCAGTGGATGTAAAGTCCGTAGTGTTATAATCCTCAGTGGGTGTAAAGTCAGTTGTGTTATAATCCTCGGTGGATGAAAAGTCCGTTGTGTTAAAAACTTCCGTCGATGATAAGTCTATTGTATCAGTCGATGTAAAGTCTGTTGTATTGTAATCTTCCGTTGATGTAAAATCCGTTGTTTTAAAATCTTCTGTGGAAGAAAAGTCTCTTGTTGTATCCACTTCCGTTGTTATGTAGTCCGTTGTGTTATTATATTCTGTCATTGTGTAGACCATCGTGTTATTATCTTCCGTAGATGTTTTTTCTGTTGTGCTATTAACTTCTGTTGTCATTTTGTCCGTAGTGCTCTGATCTCTCAATGTTATGTGATCTGCTGTATTAAACACTTCAGTACTTGTGTATTCCGTCGTGTTATTAACTTCGTGTGAATATTGTTCAGTGTTGGTTGAGTATTCTATTGTTACTTGATCAGTTGTGGTTGAATAATCTGTTTTTTCTTGTTCAGTGCTTGTTGAATATTCTGTTGTTTTTTGTTCAGTGTTGGTTGAATATTTTGCTGATTCCTGTTCAGTGTTGGTAGAATATTCTTTTGTTTCTTGTTCAGTGTTTGTTGAATATTCTGTTGTTTCTTGTTCAGTGTTTGTAGAATATTCTGTTGTTTCTTGTTCAGTGTTTGTTGAATCTGTTGTTTCTTGTTCAGTGTTTGTTGAATATTCTGTTGTTTGTTGTTCATTGTTTGTTGAATGATCTGTTGTTTCTTGTTCAGTGATTGTTGAATCTGTTGTTTCTTGTTCAGTGCTTGTTGAATATTCTGTTGTTTCTTGTTCAGTGTTGGTTGAATATTTTGCTGATTCCTGTTCAGTGTTGGTAGAATATTCTGTTGTTTCTTGTTCAGTGTTTGTTGAATATTCTGTTGTTTCTTGTTCAGTGTTTGTTGAATATTCTGTTGTTTCTTGTTCAGTGTTTGTTGAATATTCTGTTGTTTCTTGTTTAGTGTTGGTTGAATATTCTGTTGTTTCTTGTTCAATGTTGGTTGAATATTCTGTTGTTTCTTGTTCAGTGTTTGTTGAATATTCTGTTGTTTCTTGTTCAGTGTTGGTTGAATATTCTGTTGTTTCTTGTTCAGTGTTGATTGAATATTCTGTTGTTTCTTGTTCAGTGTTGGTTGAATATTCTAGTGCTTCTTGTTTAGTGTGGGTTGAATATTCTGTTGTTTCTTGCTCAGTTTTTGTTGAATATTCTGTTGTTTCTTGTTCACTGTAGGTTGAATATTCTGTAGCTTTGTGATCAGGATCTGGAGTGAGTAAATCTGTTTCTTGATCAGTTGTGGTTGAATATTTGGCTGTAGCTTGATCTGTTGTGGTTGGATATTCTGTTATTCCTTGATAAGTAGTGGTTGATTTTTCTGTCATCAGATGGTCATCAGTCGTAGAATATTCTGTTTCTTGATCAGTTGTGGTTAAGTATTCTGTTGTTTCTTGTTCAGTAGAGGTAAAATATTCTGTTGTTGCTTGATTAATATCGCTCCAATCTTTGGTGGTTGAGGAATCAGTGGAGGTTGAATATTCTGCTGCTGACTGGATGGTAGTATTTTGTGTTTTTTCCATCGTTAGGTGGTTATAAGAGGTTGAAGTTTCCGTTTTATCACTAGTTAGCATAAAAACATCTTTTGTTGCATTGTTGGTGGTAGTTGAAACTTCCCTTGTTTCTTGTTCGGTAGAATATGTTGTTGCAAAATCTTCCGTTTTCGAAGACGTTTCTGTTGTATATTCAATCGATGAGTCGGAAACCGAAGAATCGATATTTGATGTCGTCGAGTTTTCAATGAAAGGGACTTTTGTATCGGATGATGATAAAGTATCTGTAGTTAAACGTTGCGTATAATCGGGTGACGTATATTCAGTCAGTGTGGAAGTATCAGATTGACCCATCTCCGTAACTCCCTCTGTGGTGACAACACTAGATAATTCATCCTTCAATGTCGTTTGCTCTGATTCTATAACAGGAGTTTTAGTTGTGTAATCTGACTTTGTGGATTCTAAACCTGTTTCGGTTGTGTTTTCGAGGTTTGTTGCATTTGAAGTTGTTCTGTACCCGATCGTTGTTGATGTCTCTGTAAGAACAAATTAAACTCGAATTCAAGAAGTCAACGTCTATTCAAAATGAGGATACATTGTTTTCGAAAAGTGTAATAGATGAAATATGATAGTTACAGGCTAAATACAATGAAAAATGAGGAAGGATGTAAAAAGTATCACTATATGTTTATAATAAAAAGTGTTCCTCCTATTATTCTACGCTAGATTGTCTATTTTATATTATTACATTATTGAAAATTAAAGTTCTGTTTATGCAAATGTATTTGAATATTTTATGTTTAGTGTTGGTGCGATGATGTAGGACTTTTATCATTAATAATGATGAAAATTTTTGTATTGTTAGGTAAAAGATATAATAGAACATTCAAGAATTCTCAATGTGTTACTTTATTATTTAAATAAGCTAATTCTTTATAAGTGTGGATTTAAAATGTAGTTGTTCTTCCTAAGAACTTATTTCTATATTTAATGATAACAACGACATGGTATCAACTGCTTATATTTCTGTTAATTACCTGTAAATTGGCAACAATTCAAAAGGCACAGACAGAGAACAAACAACCATCTCCTGGATAACATGCTTTCTGGAATTAAAAGACGATTAAATGTAGAACTTTAAAGAAAAAAAAAACATCCATCCAAAAAATAAATTTGGCAAAAGAAGACAATTTTCTTACTTCTTTGTTTTTTTTAAATATTGTTTTAAATGATATAAATCTACCTCTTATTAATTCTGAATAGTTTTAAAGAGAAACAAAGAGGAAAAAATATGTTCTGTTTTGAGTATTTAAGAACTTGTTGAGAATTTATGATATTCTGAAAAAAGAAAAATAATAAATACTTGAATTTACATCATCAGACGATGAAATTACAAAAAACGAATTATGGACATTTATATTTGAAAAGAACTAACTAAATTGATAAACGCCTCATAAAAAGGTGTTGTAAATAATTTTGTACCCGAAATAAGTCCTATTCAATATTTATGCCTGATTTCCTAATTTCCCTCTCAAAATGTAACTGGTTAGGGTTAAATTGGACATACTCCTAGTAGAAATACATAAATTAGAAATCTGCGAATAGGGTTTAAAACATGGACTCTTGTCAATTCACTTATGGCATCAGATACCCGGGCGGAGTAAGAGGTCTTACATTCAACATATGTTTTATGTAAAGATCAGGTATACAGAATAATCCGTAGTGGAATAAGTATTAAAAGATACGCCTGTTTTTCACTCGTCTAACAGTCATTGTCTGATAATTTTAAACGAAAAGTGAAATGAAACAAATATTGGAAGTCTGCGTTGTTAACATTTGATTTTTCAACATTTTTGAATCTCAGGAATCATGAAATGTCTTGATTTTTTAAAAACAGAATATCCTTCACGATTAATAAAATTGAGAATTCTAAAATAATGACGGGAGTAAGGAAGGACAGGAAAATAAAATAAAATTGGGAAAAAATCAAACAGGTTTGCCATTTTAGATGATTAAAATTAAATTTAGTTACATGAAAAGTTTACCTGAATTATCTAATTTCCGAACAGTATGGACGTCTGTGAGTCGATCCCATCCCTATGCAGGATCATGATTACCTGATTAATCAATGAAGAAGTTAGCTGGGTTTTCTGAATATTGAAACTTAAGATGATTCTTTTTAAAGACTAAGTTCTTGCACACCAACGGATTTAAAGGTTCTGGTGCACTCCTAGTTCGGGCGACAAAAACAAAGATTTATATGCGTGTGAAATACGAGAAGATTTTTAAATTAGAAACTTAATGAAGCCAGATTTCAAATGATAATTTTTTCAAAAACAGTAGATTTTATACATCGATATTATCATTCACATAGACAATTAATTCTGGTAAATCTGTTGTAGGTTTTTCTTGGTATTTTATTTTGGAAAATATGCAAAGAGGTCAAGGATATGGAAAGATCTTCCCTGAATCCGTTCTCTTTAACTTAACTCTTTTTTACAGGTATCTCATATGTATGTATCAACAGGCTCCTTAAACATGAACAGTTTTCAAATTCTACTTTCAATGGACTGACTTTGCAAGAAAATACAATTGATCATTGAGTCGAATGTTGATTGAAGTTATATTTTCATTCATTCATAGGAATTAATGAATGTGCTAGATTTATAAGCCATTACTTTAACTCTGAATTGTTTAAAGATTATTTGTTTGTACGATCACGACAAAGAGCACTCGGCGGGGATGACTGGTCGACCGGAGAACTCTTACTTCTTCACGGCAACTGTAGACTTCATTTCTTCAGTTAAAATGCAGCGTTTGCTCTCTCTTTGATTATACTGTTCTATAAACTTCTGAGATTTATTTCTGTCCTTTATCTTCATATTTCATCCTTCGCTTTTATAGCCTAGTACTTTTATTGATGCCAAAGGAGGAATACTTCTTACCAAATCATCAGTGGTGGGATCAGGTGCTAAGGAGGAGTAAACATCCCTTGCTGACAGGTCACACCCTCCGTGTGCTCCTTGTCATGATCGGGAAATAACGTAAACATCCGTCGTCAATTCAGTGTATAAATAATGGCCTGACAATTAGTATGAAAAACTTCAGTCTCAATGATAAATTGTATTTGCTTACAAGGTCACAGTATCGACCACAGAACTTACGAAATGGTGACATTAAACGAAACTGTTGATATCCTTATTTCATCAACTTGCTTGTAAATAATTTACCTCGTTTTAGAAATTGTTCATACGCATGCTCTCGTGCTCTTGTGTATCGAATCAACTGAGATATATATACTCCGTATGCAGGTGATAAAGGTATATTGCTGCATAAGTAAGGGAAGTTGACGATAGAAAAGTTAAAGTCATCACGTTATCTTATAGCTTGGTTGTTAGATTACCATTCGCGTCTTTTTCAATTGAAATATCCAAGTATGAAACAGATGTGCCAGACTCGGTGGTATCTTTTATCTCAAGCTCCCCAGGATGTATCGTATCGACGTAGAAATGGAATTAACCATTGTTTATTGACAATGCGTCGTCAATATATCTAAATGTCGAGTTGAAGGCCACAGCAAGTGTTTTCTTTTTTTCACGTATAAGATTATGCACAACTTCTGCTTCATATGAATATAAAAATATGCCAGCTAATAACTGGGCTGAATTAATACCCATGGGAATTCCAATAGATTGTTGGAATACCTGGTCTCCAAAAACCACATTATTATTAACAGAAACTCAAGCATCGCTTGATCTCAATATGTCAACTTCAGAGTACTTGTGTGTGCAATCAAAATATGTTTTAACAAAATAATTTTGCAAATGACCAATGACAAGGTAAGTTAATTTTCAAATTCCTTTCTTATTGAAAAAGTAACTGTCAATGATATCAAAAAGCCTGGACTTTAATTTATCGGCTCAACTAGGATATATGGATAAGTAGTCCCGGTAAAAATACTTTCATACGCCAAATTTGAATAAATGCACCTTGCTTTATAATCGGATTCATGCGCCAAATTCGAATTAATGCGCGTTGTTGGATAATAAAAAGAAAATTAGAAGAAGTTTTCCAGCAGAAGACGGGTTGACAGGTCGACAAGTTGACAGGTCGACGGGTTGACAGGTTGACAGGTTGACAGGTCGACGGCTTGACAAGTCGACTGGTAGACTAATTTACGGGTAGACAGGTCGACGGGTTGACAGGTCGACGGGTTGACAAGTCGACTGGTAGACTGATTGACGGGTAGACAGGTCGACTGGTTGACAGGTCGACGGGTAGACAGGTCGACAATTTGACGGGTCGAGTGGTTGACAGGTCGACGTGTTGACTGTCGACTGTCGACTGGTAGACTGGTTGACGGGTAGACAGGTCGACGGGTGGACTGGTAGACAGGTTGAATGGTTGACAGATGGACGGGTAGACGGGTCGACGGGTTGACAGGTCGACGAGTAGACAGGTCGACAGGTTGACAGGTGGACGGGTAGACAGGTGGACTGGTGGACAGGTCGACGTGTTGACAGGTCGACGGGTAGACATGTGGACGGGTTGACAGGTCGAGAGGTCGACAAGTTGACAGGTAGACGGGTCGGTGGGTAGACAGGTGGACTGGTTTACCCCTAGGTTGGAAATAGGAATAGCCCTAATCTATCATGTTCGATAACTAACCCTAATCTCTCAGGTGGGTTCTGGAACTAACCCTAATCTATCAGGTGGATTCGAGAACTAACCCTAATCTCTCAGATGGATTCGAGAACTAACCCTAATCTCTCAGGTGGATTCGAAAACTAACCTAATCTCTCAAGTGGGTTCGAAACTAACCCTAATCTCTCAGGGGATTATAGTACTAAACCTAATCTCTCAGCCTGGTTTGAATACTAACCTGTATCTCTCATGTGGATTTGAAAACTAACCCTCATATCTCAGATGGGTTTGAAAATCAATAAGAGGTGTCAACTGTCCACCTGTCGACCTTTGTGATGACATTGTATGTTAACCAATAAGAGGTGTCAACTGTCGACCTTTGTGGTGACACTGTTGATTAGTAAGAGGTGTCAACTGTCGACCTGTCGACCCTTTTAATGTCAATGTAGGTTTAATGTGGAATTGTCAAACATTTTTTGTAAAGGGGACTGCTTATTGACCATTTCTAAAAGGATTTATTTGAAGTATTAAGGCAAAATATTCCCACTATCAACTATAAAAGGAACTATTTCTTATCAAATTTTCAATCTGAAAGATGTTAATCGGTTTTATGGAACTACCTATCCGTATACCCTAGTTGAACCAATTTATCGTGGGGATTGGTTGTGTATAAAGTTAAAGTCGTAAGTTTCGGAGATGTTGATTTTTGTAAATTCTTGTGATTTCAAATTGTCCAAAAACTCTTTGGAATTTATGATTATCCACATCTGATTCACACTCTTGAAGTTTTTCCTTCACACCTGAAATAACTTAGTGAGGAGTAACGAAAGAAGCTTGGTTGAACATTTACTGGAACCCGCAATGTATCTTTGTTTGTAAGGATTTTTATGAAGTTTCGGAATTTTGTATTTATAGGGTAGTTCAAATTCCTTTTGGCTCTGTGGAATATTTAAATTATATAAAACTGACAAATGATTTTGAAGAATTTCTCCCTTAGAAAGGGAAGTATGAGTTTAAGTAGGATCACCACTTGTAGAATTAAATCCAGGTTCTTCTAAAATATAATTCATATAATGAGCATTATAAAAAAGACAATGTTGTTACCAGCTTTGTCGGCAGGGAATAGAACGTACTGATCATGTAATCTATCTAATTATTTTTTCACTTCTGGATTATTGAATACAGAAGGATAGATGATTTTCATATTGCCCCTCAATTTTTTAAGTTCTTTTCATCCTCACAAATTTAATGGTTCAAAGAACAAAAACTGGATCTGTTTTCATGTAATATAGTTTAAATTTACCAATTTTTAGCAAAAATTGTATTGGTCACCATATTTTTTAAATGAGACATAAATAAACAAAAGTACATGTCAACATGAAAAAAATTGTACGCATTTTGTAAACAGTATTATAAAAAAAACTGGTTTAAATGCAAAATTCTGATGCTGAATGATCCGAAATACTTGCTATTTATAAGACACTTTTGGATTATGAATATCAGAGAAACTATTTTACATTAGAATACAATAAAATACAATAAAGAAAATGCCTGAATGAAGAAACCTGAAAAAGAGTTATTGTCCTTGTTAACCTTTTCTAAAGATTAAAATTATTGATTTAATATTAAAAATGTATTTTTCAAATTCTTTTAATTAACAGTATTTATCATTACACCTATTGAAAAGCATTCTTTCAACAGATACTGTTCTATTTCGTATTAATTTCAATTAATGACAGTTTCTGCAAAAACCCATGAAATCATAGGAGGATGGAATAACCTTAATACGCGAATTTAACAAAGATCTGATACAATTAATCCAATCTGACAATGTAAATATGTCGATATATTCAGCGAACAATTTTCAAGCTCAAAATGTCCATTAAACATGAAAATTTAGGAGCGGAGCAGAAACAGACCTCCAAAACACCAGAGAGGGAAGCAGGTATCATTGATGAGTGAACATCAACTGCCCGGACACTCCCGCTGTGTGCTCCTTATCATGATTGGAAAATAGAGGGAAAATTTTTTTGGACAAATCTGTGTGTGAATAATGGCCCGACAATTGGTATGAAAAAGTCAGCTGGCATTTGATTGAACGATAGATTGTTATTAGTCACAGGCACATGCAGGATTTTTCATGATATTTATCCAAATTACTTCAGTTTTTCTTTTCAAGATATTTTAAATTCGTAAACAAATATAATCTCAGTTGTCATCTCTCCTTTTAGGACATGGCGGGTGTGATCGGCCGGCAGGGGATGCTCACTCCTCCATGACATCTGATCCAACCTCCGATATTTTGTAGGTTCCTGTTTTCTATTTTGTATCGTTTAATGGACTTTTAAGCTTGGAAACTGTTCGTTATCTCCATATATCTCATAAGAAACAAATGACACAATGCATCAGTATTGTATTTATTACAGACCAGCTGTAAAAAGTATTTATAATGCTTTATTAGTAAATTATTAATAAAACAGATAATAAAATTTTCAAATTCAATAGAAATAATTCTTAAATAAAATAACAATTTAAAAAAACAAAAAAAATGTAAACTTGTTCTCTTTCTTCAAATATTCAGTAAAAAGTGGACGGATAAATATATTAAAAACCTGTTTTCTCACATATAATTCAGTAGTAGTGAAATCTGTTTTTTTTTAAATAAACATAACATTAACAATCATTTGTCAAGAAATAAAACAAAATCAATTTATTAAAGAAGAGAAATGTAATGCTTCATTTGAATAAAAATAATGAAGGGCGGAAGAAAAGATATAATAATTCACCGGTAGCCGTACCAATATTTAATAAGTACATTAAATCATTTAAAAACTGTTCTTTTCAGACATAAATATTAACTATTTTTATACAAAAAAAAAGAATTTTAAAAAAGTTGTACAAAAAGGAATGGATGTTGAATCTTTACAAATGACTTTAAAACTATCTCCAGATGAGAGTTTCATGGTACCAAACAAGAATGTTATATTAGAATATGAAAATAATGATTTAAACCAATTGTGCATTTCTAAATATATACACAAAAATTATTAAAGGTCTACAACACTGAATGATCGAGGTAAGTGTTTACCGAGTCGATACACAAAAATATATTAGCACGTTGTAGATGCTGCATCCAGGTTGTCTTATTTTGAGAATTAAAATCTTAATGAGAAGCAAACATTAAATATATCTCAATAATTGTCACAACATCCTCACTAAAATTTACGGTGTACTTAATGGGTATCAAAAATATTTATCTTGCAAAAGAGTTCATAAATCTTAAAACAAATAAGAAAGAAAAGAAAAATCAAACAGCGATTTACAAGATTTGCATTTGTTTCAAATTGAAGTGATGTAGATGCTTGAAAATAAAACATACGCTATAACACTAATTCCAAACCTTTCAAACACATTGCAAAAAAAAGCACAGACAAAATTTTATAGAAAGACTCTTTTCAAGATTCAAAATTCACACACAGTTTTTCCTCATGCATAATTCGGTCCCTGAATTTCCAAGTCAAAAACAAACAGATTTTGAAAGGAAATTCAAAACATATTTTCCTTATTGAACCTCAAAGAAAACACTGATATTTAAATAAAAAATATTGAACATTCTAGAAAAATCATTTTAAAGTACATTCGTTGGAAAGATAGGGACAGAATAACACTATATAATTTCAGCAGGTATAGTTAAAGAACATGTCTTGTTCAAGTTCATTGTAGTTTCATATCCATCTCAAACATTTTTAAAAATCCTAAATATTTTTTATAATCTAGCTGTTTCTTTCAAATTTATCTCTACTTATGTCTAAGGTATTTTATCCAATCGATTTCTTTAAACCGATCTTTAGATCTAATTTGAACATCTACCTCTTTATATTTCTTTTTTATCAATATTTAGCTATTTTTTAAACATATATCCTTTGCTATACTTTTTTATCGTTTCTGAGCTATTTTTTCATAAATCTCTAGGTGTTTCTATTAAAGAAAAGTTATCTCCTATATATGTCTTTGGTGGTTCCTTTTTTGTCCGTCTTTCACTATTTCTTCCTATCTAACACCCACGAGTTGACGGTTGGGGGCCGGGGAGGACTCTCCTCGTCTTGTTTCAAGGTTAACATTTCTCTGTCACTGCTGCCGACCTTAGCTGATGATGGTCTTTTGCTGGAAATAGTCAAAAGAACTTATCCAAAGTGACTTCTTAAATGTCAACAATTACATTTGAGAAATACTCAGCAAACAACGTATTAAGACATCAACTACTGTTTTAAATGGAATAATTCGGAGTTGTGGATCACATAAGTTTAATATTTGAGAAGGGGTATAGTTTTTTATTTATGAATGATACTTGAACAGTGAAAACCATAACATATGTTTATATTTTACTGGAAACGATCAAAAGCTACCGTTGAACCGATATTAACATTCATTATTGATGATAAAAGTTATAAATGTTATATTAAAGTCTTACTTTTTGAAACATTTGAAATAGAATATTACACCCACGATCACCATGACAACCACAAAGCCGACAGCGCCACCTGCTGCCGCCCCAGCTATCGAACTGTCGCCTGGAAAGAAACCACCTGAGCGTTTTTAAAAACGCTTAAACGTACTCGTATAATGATTGCAAAGATGAGTCGAAACTTACACTGGAGGTAGATTATTTAAAAGAAAATTAAGTATTGATTAAGAAAACTACTAGTATACCTTCATTAAGACAGAGGTCTTAAGATTTATTAAGGGTGTCTTTTTAAAAAGAAATAGTGATCAAAATACAATTATATAATACAGTTTAACCAACTTTACCTGGCTCATCCTGAACTGATGTGAACTGAAATAGGAAAATATTCAATGAAAATAATTGCAACATATAGATCTATATTTATTGAGAGCAATGAGTTCAATCTAATGCATTTAGACAGCATTAAGTATCAGCCTTTGAAACATTCTGAAATTAATGTCTGCCTTTTGAACAATTGTGTTCTTCAGATAAAGTGAGTGTTGCCTTAAAAATAAAACCATAAGGTAGACCTAAAAGTTTAATTCATCTACAAAAATGATGGTCATGGTACCTTGGTACATGTATAGGTTGTGTAATCGCATGACTCGGATGCGCCATTGTACACAACGACGGAAGTAGAGTTGCTGAAGGTAGAATTGTCGTAACTGAAACTTAAATCCCAGCCATGTATGGACCCGTCCGTAGAGCGTCGTCTCCTTGACGACGTGGGATAGGTTGGTATGGTAACGGTCAGCAGGTTTAGCTGACGTAACGTTACGTTCGCCATTACACTGTAGTTACTGTACTCTTTTCCACTTTCCGTTGCCTGTTTAGATTGAATTATTATATTAAAAAACATATCTTACTTCTCCTCGACCATATGCATTAAAACTCTAAATCATTAAATTAATTATATATATATTGGTTATTTCATAATTCTTTGCATGTAGCGTCAGGAGTCTGACCGACTGATTAATTCATTAAATGCACAATTTCAAGAAACATCCCAGAGATTTTAAACCTAGTTTGACTGGTAACACCCATTTCTACAAAATTATTTTTGTATAGTTTTTTTTGTGTTAAATATTTCCTTAAAAGCAATATTAAAGGTAACAGTGGAGGGAGTTTAAACTTGTAAATTCATAAGTAAAGTAAAGCGTGAAAGATGATTGGGTTAATTGTACATGTGTAAATATCTGAGGTAGAAAAAGGGTGAAGACGACGAATATAATTAACCCTAACCTATCTTGTACCGAGTACAGATCGTGACCAGGGCAAAATCACAGACCTCTGGAAACTCAAAAGGTCGGGTCAGGAACCTAGAAGGAGTAAGCATTCCCTGTCCACCGACCACGTCTGTCGTTAGACCCTTGTAGCGATCACATAAACTGGGTAATGTGTAGTCAAAATAAAACCAATGACCTAACAAAAGGTCCGATTGCAAAATCAATTTAATTGAAGAAATAAAATAGTGTCCAAGTAATGACATTTTCTGTAGTTCTTTTTATTTTTTTTCTGTTGAATCCCAGGTGTTTCATTACTTTTGCGGTTAAGCTCTAATCAAATATAAGAGCTATTAGTCTACAAAATATTAATACACATGTACAATGTAACAAAATCGTTTATTAACCGCTGATAAATTCATCTTTTATCTTATATGTGAACATAATGTTAAACACGTGTTTCACTCATAACAGATACTATCACTCATTAATTTGAAGTATTTTGTATTGTGCAGATAATTCTTTGACAATCAGTAACTTCAGAAAAAAATCATATGTCTTGTAGTTGTTTATGTTTATAATAAATTACTATGAGATAAAAACCTCTTACTTTAAAATGTTGAGCCAGAACATAGGGTGCTTGATGGAATACACCCACGATGTTCTGGGTCAGACAAGGCCGGTATCTCGTGTCACACAACCCGTGACTGGGGACGCTGATTTCTGCGGGGGGAGTCGTCAAGCCGTGTGAACAATCCTCGCCAATGTGACTGGCATCGCAGCTGCAGGTTTCTAAAACAATATTTTATCATTCTTTTATGAATAACACTTTGAATTAAAAGTCTGGGTATCAGACATCATACCTATATAAGCACGAGGAATGGTCTATCTACCTGGGTACGCTATAGTTCCTTTCTGTTATAGTTTGGTATCAGTGAGGTTCATTCTCTCGTTTTATTGTACTCACCGTTTGCACACGTCCCATGCCCTGAGCAGTTGTTTGGACATGTCATACTGGAAAGAGTGTCTAAGACACTGACGCCATTGGATGTTGTATTCGTCTGCTGGAAACTTTCATCACGTGACGCTGTCGTTATGCACTTCTTCTTAAGAGTATCTAACGTTGCCTTCAAGAAGTCAGTGTCGCCTTGGAGCTGTTCAGATGATAAAGAAAAAAAGTGCAAATTTTATTTAAGAAGTTATCTCAAAAGAAACTACTATAAGCCCAACACAACGTTCAAGGGCTCAAAGCATGCTAAGTAAAAGTCTGAAATCAGTACTTGCATATGTACTTAAGCATGATAAATTCTTTCTTGGATAGAAACTGATTATAATGAATTCTACATGAAGGTTTTTCTGTGAGAGACAAGAGTCAGAGATCTTGTTGCAGATTGGGCTACCTTGATATCCGTGATACAGCTGTTTGTGTATTCCGCCACACTCGTGTTGACCTTCTCTATACAGACTGTGACCGCCGGGTCGTTCGTGAACGCGTTACTGCAGTAGTCCGTGGCAGCCGTCTCATTCCAACCATTCCGCCACGTAGCCACCTTATCAGAAAGTAACGTTTATAATCAGGAGAAAAGATTATGTTTTAGATACATGCGTGGCTTAATATTGAGTTGTATATTTCATTTAATGAGATTTAGTTCTTTCTTTTTATACAGGAATGTTTTACTACAATACACAAATAGTGATAATGGATTGTGAATGTTTCAAAAAAACCAGACCTGTAGTTCCTGATCGTAGTCGGAGTCGTAAGAGAAGCTTGGTGTATCTATGATGTCATCTGTACCAGAAGTACTCCTCTTTCTCCTACTCTGTGTACAAACACTAACAGTTTGACTCTTAGACTCCGAACAAGGTTCCGTTGGAGACTCCAGTTGACAGTGGGCGTAACCAGGGTTTTGATTGGCAGATTGGTAGGAGGAGCATGTGCAATAGAAGGAAGTAGGCGTGGTGGAAGGGGTGGATCTACAGTGGAGAGAATAACATCCAGTATGTATTGAGGCAGTGGGCTTTCTAAATGCGAGTTTCTGCCAACATGTGTCTTTTACTTACGGTGCCGAATAGCTGCTCAATGTTGGACTGTTAATGAAGAGACTGTCCGAAGAACCTTGGGCCACTCTGTAAATGTTTTAATTTATTACATCAAACTTTACCTTAAAAAAAATACCATTAAAAGTTAAGTTTTAATTGACTGAGGAATGAAAAAAATACTACGTTTCTTGTACCTCCAAGACACGGCAAATGTTCTCTCATCAGCTACAGGACTTCGTTGCCCTTTAGGAATGAAATCATCAGACCTTTCCCCGTTATAGGAACCACACAGTCCCTCTGTTTGATCAAAGTCAGAAGAGGGCGCCACAATCTGGACGTACGATATCCAGTTATCCCAACCACTCAGGGCGAAGGTCACCTCTACACCATTAGGAAGAGTAACCTGCCAATCAGAAAGTTTTTTACAGGAAGGTATGTTAATATTTTATTTATTAATTATTTTTCTTTCGTCCATTTTAAAAGTATTCTTTATCTCTAACCATTACGTGTAAGAAAATATCCTCTAAGTCTTTTTTATATATATTGGCAAAACACCTGGTGAAAGACACGACATTTTCTTTTCTTCATAATGAAATGATTATAATCAAAATCAATTAAAATTGAACAAACCCGGTATCTACTTCCGGTTTTCTGCACAGCAATGGCGTCGGGGTCGCATCCTTCCATGAGCTCATACGGGACACTAAGGAGTTGGACCCGACTGGCGGACACTCTGGTACAGGTTCTGACGACGTACAGGGAATTCCCGCTCTTAACGGCTACTCCACAGTTACAGGTGGCAAATCCAGGGACGCAGGCAGAAAATAAGGCGTGGACCTAGGATTTATATACAAATGAGGTAAAAAGCATTCCAGTACAAAAAATATGTCTTTGAATTAATGTTCCAAACAACTAGTAAATCAGTTTGCACTAATTTACGACAGTCTTCGTGTACGATTTTGTCGCCCGCGCGGAAAAGTGGTCAGAATCGTGAAGTAAGGAGTTGATCCTTACGTCGCGGTTCGAATCCCAATGTGGGACGTGGAGACCGCTCCTTCGGATGATACCGTATAAACCAAATATGTTATTATTTTTTACATCGTCATGGACCAAAAAGTTTAATTATTTGTTATACCTTATTTCCCCTATCAGTAAAATAACTGCGATTGGCAACGATGCAATAATTGTAAATTTACAAAAAAAGTTTCTTTTAATGTTTACCTTTAAACCTCTGTTTTACAATTGTTCGGATTTTGGCAAATATCATGACCTAACATGAAATATTCATCACGAGCGAAGTAGATATAGTACATCAGGTAGCTTAATCATTGAATAGAATCTAATAGTTGTTATTTTAGTATTTATTTAACTTCTTCATTAAAAAACTGTTATTTGGATTTTCTTATATCTCATACATAATCTATGGTAACATACCGAGAAGGGTTTAGACTTGTGTCTGTACATAACGAACTCTCCCACTCGCTGATTCTCCCAGTAGATTCCGTCAAATGTCTGCATGTGAGGGTCGTTATATGAGCTACATATACCTCCCCCACTCGTGTCTTTATCGTGGACTCGAACCTGAAAAAAATGATCATACATGTAAATCAAAATCTATTAGATTTTGAGAATGATGGATTTTAATTGTAATATTTTAGAGAAAAGGTCAATGAATAGGAATACAACCAGTTCTTTGTTATTTGTATTCTTTTTTATTCTCTTGTTTTATCATATTTTAACATTGAATTCGTACAGAAATGGTATCCTCAAACTGCATGTTCCCCCACCCGATGTGGTTGCTGTCAGAACCAGGTTCTAGCTTTATATCCGTCATTTTGTACCACCAGTTTCGCATTCCATCCATGTATCCTGTTATGTTTAGCTGCACAGTTTCGTACCAATATTTGTATGAGAAATGTAGCTGACATCCATTGTCCGGAAATGCTGCCGATAGATATTTAATTCCGTTCCAGCACCACGGCCAGTACTCTGTGGTCCGGATGTACAAAGTCCCCTTACAATTCGCTTCCTTCTCAGTCTCGGATAACGAGGCACTACAACCAACCGGAAGTGTGCTCGTCACCTCTATGGATACCGTCTGACCTTCATTTACATCTACATTTGTCTGATTTACCTAATTAAAGGACACTATTTATATAAAAAATGACCCGTTCACGGTTAATTGATTGTATGCGTGTAAATGTATTATTAAATAGGCTTTAAGAAACTCTTATTAGAATTACAGTGTCAAAAATAATCAATACATGTTATTTTCAAAATTATTCCATTTTATCAATTGAAATGAATAAATTCATGACCAAACCTCCAAAGTCAGTTAAAAAAATCATTACACATGCTAAAACTTGCTCTGTAAAGGGCCTTTTACAATTGGCGCACGAGCAGAACGACAAAATATTCGTGCGACCGAAAAACTTTAATTTGGATCGTAAACTGTTGTTGAAATAATCGCATATGAAAAACTATTCGTACGGAATTCGCATGCTTTAAAGCGACCGTTGTGCATTAAATCTTACGATTTATCTTGATTCTATATGCGACTGTTGTACAGTGAAAGCGAGTGTTGTAAGGTAATGCTAAAGGATCGCGCTATTGAGCGTGCACCAATACGATTGGACGTAAGACGCTCGTGCAATCGTGCGTTTCATGGTACGAATGATCGTGCGAGTGAGAAGGGGAATGTATATATACTACCCGTTTCCGACCCTCGTCAGTCGAATGCAAGAGATCGATGACGCTCAAAACGATGACAATAGCTATCAGGTCCAGTCCAAACTCTATTTCTACCTACGTAGCTATTAATAGCTACCTAGGTATTTAAAGCTTCCCAAAGTAGCTATTTTTACCTACTTGTTATAATTTCTGCATTTTGCAGCACAAAGACAAAACGGCGCAACATGGTGAATAACATATCTTTTGATACAGTCACACTAATGATAAAAACAAAAGAATTTTGGCCAAAAAAATGATTATTTCCTGAATCGGCAATTTTACATTAGTTTCTATGCAAAATTGATAATATACAAAATAATCACTTTTTGCCAAATTTTTGTCATATCCATCCTCAGTGTGACTGTATCAAGAAATTGTGTGCTCGCCATGTTGCGCCGTTCCTTCATTTGGCCACAAAATGCAAGTAGAGCAGAAAGTAGGTAAAAATAGCTACTTTGGGTAGCTTTAAATACCTAGGTAGCTATTAATAGCTACGTAGGTAGAAATAGTCTTTGGACTGGACCTGGCTATAGGTAAAGCCAATGTAACCCGCAGAAAGAAGGCCCAGGAGGAAAGGCCCATGATCTGCCGCAGCAGCCAAACCCGGTTCATAATCAACCTGAGCTTGTATTCACCCCTACTAATGTTATTGTGATTTAAATTCAAGACACGGGGTTTAGGTTGCTCTGTTCAAAGGTTATAGGGTAGAACCGGTTTTATAAATAAAATTGGCAGTAAACATGATATTGCTATAGCCTGCTTCTTTTGAAAACATGTCCTGTAATAAATGTTTCCAGACCTGTCTGAAAGACTTTCATGACTTTCAACAGAAAAAGGGTGACATGTTTGCCTTATATGGATATTGTTATAAATGCGCACAGAGGATCTTACCACGAGCAACTGACCAGTCGTTGGATGAATAGCAACGTTTACGCCAAATACATGTTTGCATTTTACTTCGAACACGTAGTTCAGGTCAATCTACGATCATGTTTATGGACTGCAAAATTAAAAAAAAAATTCTTACGAACAAAATGCAAAGATAAGAAACAATGAAAGATGTTACGGGCGTTTTTAATTTGTTGTTAAATGGAAAATAAATGTTTAATAAAATGTAGTTTGTTTGTCGTTCAGAACACCAGCGCTTCAAGGGTAAGGAAAACGAGGAGCATCTCATGCATTTAAATGTACAAAAAATTGTTTACGTTCGTGATCACGTGTTCGGCCAGGGAATTCACCTGGCAATTGTATTCACCGATAGTACAACAAAGGAATTAATACAGACGCAAATTGCTTTTGCAGTATGACTTTCAGAAACTAGACTTCCGCCGTTTATTTAACAAATGAATTGTTTGTAAGTATGAGTATGAAAATATATTTTAAAAAATGTTTTTCATTTACCATAAGATTTTCCATTTTTTTTTCAAGCGTAAAATTCCTGTAGTATTCGTAGTAACCCACAATGCAATACTCATTCAGCTGATTGGTCAGTTAAAATCATGCTGGTGCCTCATTTGCTATTCTAACGCCAAAAATTATAGTCCTGTTTCCCATGCAAAAATATTTGTTCAAAAAGAAATTTTAATTAATGACTGCAGAAAATTGTAATATAGAGACTTTTTTAAGTTTGAATGAATGTAAAAGAGATCGATTGATTGAAGTACATTTCTACAGACATTTGATTATCAGCTGATTCTAGGGTGGTGAAAACTGAAACGCAACATAACTTTTCTGTTTACCATGCCTCCACGTGCTAGTGACTTCCTAGCCACATTTCCGTGAATAATTTACCCTATCTCGCTGAAGTCTCGCTAGCTCTCGCCAGAGCCACTGCCAGAGCTACTCTGAACTCATCGGGTTCTATAATTTGCAGAACACAGAAAAATAAAAGGTTCCGAACACATTAGTAGGGGTGGTATTGGTGAAGCAACATTCATGGCCATTTGTGGTCTGAAACGGAGATGCTTATGGAGGGTTTACATATACTAGTGGCAAAGCATGGGAAATTGAAGATGATAAATCATGCACAGTAAAACTTTGCAAGATTATATGAGACACGTTGAGCAACAGTCTCATGGTCGTACAACACATGCATATACAGCTGCGATTCATCTTACGACCTTTAAAAATAATATTCTAAAAACTAATATTCATGCGTTGAATAGAGATATATGTGGATTGCATTTGGTTGCATCTGAATAGTGTGCATGTCGACTATTTTGAGGAGACTTGATGCGACCACTAAAACGCATGCTACGAATGCGAAACATCGTGCAACGTTTGCGAGCGCACGGCGAGAGCTCGTGCGAAGCTAAAATTTTCCGATCGCAATGTGTTGTAAGGGCTCGTGCGCCAACTGTGAAAGGGCCTTAAAATCTTGAAATTAAACAGAAGTGAATGGACTTTTCGGATTACCTTCACACCAGCAAAGAACTTGAGGCTAGTAAACGTTGAACCAGGTACACTGTTAGAATACTGGGCGCTGACGCTACAACTCACCTGGCAAACAAATCCAGTGAAAACAATGATTAATAAAATACATAGAATACCATAAATAATTGTTAATTTAATTGAATGCTTAGCAATTAGCTGTGATACATTGGCTGCATCGTTATTGCCAACTTTCGCGGAAGATCAAGTTACTTGAACGTTAATGAACTATTCAACCTGTTACACGAACGATTCTTCACGCGCATGATTCTACAATTTACACGATATTTCAAAATTACTATCGCAAACTCACAATTCTTCGCGCAAAATAGTTTTAAGGACAGATGATACAATCATTTGTCAAAAAAATTGAAAATAACAACTTGGAACATGTTTAAATGAGTAAAATTAATAAATTTCACCGCGTAGTTTTTAATTTTTTTATTTACATTTTCACAAAAATGGAATTTTAAGTTAAAAATATTTGTATAGATTAATAAGGGCGGTTTCAGAAGGTTTACAATTTCTTTATATTCTAAAAAGTGTAGACTGCTCATATTACACAAGAACCACAATTCAACATGAGAATGTGCCTTGAAAGAGGTTTTCTCGGAAGTATTCTCTGAAATAGATTTTACGAAACTATCCCAGAAAATGTAAAGAATTACCGACGGTATCGAACGGAAAAAAAATTCTGAGAGCCGGATATTGATTGAACAAGACACATTTTATATCAATTTTCTGTATTGATAAAACTTTTCTTCTATGTTTATCTAAGCCAGCAAGCACGATTATTATCTCCTATTCAAAAAATGGAAGCCTCTTTCTAGCATTTTATTTAGATGCAATTTTATCGATTTTCAATAATCCACACCCTTGAAATTATTCAAACGGCACATATTGCATAATTCTTGGAGTTATAAATTATTTCTTGCAACTTTCCTTTGTATAATATTCTATCTTTTGCATTATTCATTATTTCTCCAGGATTCTATTTTCTTTAAATTTTTGCCTTTTGAACAATCTTGTTCTTTTTCCCTAAACCTCACAAGAATGCATATCTTGCTTACGTAGGTAGGGACTGACCCAATTACTAGGCAGGATGTGTATTGATGAGGAACACAAATTTTTGTTTTCAAAATTGGTTTAGCTATATCTGTGTGAATTTTAACTTTTCTAAACTTTCAATTTTTTTTTCTTATTTTTAATACAATTAGTGCTTTTAATCTGACTTTATGGGTTAAACCTAGTGCTCAATTTAATTTGCTTTCATATGATGTTTATTTATTTATTTATCTATTTTTATATTATAATATATACCTTTTTTTTGTTCTTCTTAATGCATTAAGTTTGCTTTTCAATTTTTTTTCTCTAAGTAATTCTTAAAAATTGATTAATTCTTTAAAAATTGTCTTATCTGCCTTATGTATGTGTATATATGTACATGTGTTTTTGCATGTTAATTTATGTTGTAAATGTTTTTTTGTGATATTTTAACTGTGATAGTCAGTTTAAGAGCTCTACAGAACTCATGTTTCTTGTTATGCAACGTATAAAATACCAATTTTTAAAAAAATTCCAAAGTTAACATAAATAAAAGGTTGAGCATAACGAGGTTCTTGTAAGATTTTATCTAGAAATAATCCTGCATAGTGAATATTAGTACTGGACGGAAACCCATTTATGATGAAAAAAACTTTTTTTTTTATTTCGATATAAGGTTTTTCAATATTTGTAGGAACTAAGTAAATTTGTTATTACAATTTGAATTCGATAAAACAATTCTAGCGTGTTTTAACAAATGTGTTGAATTTATTTTCTATAAATTTTGAAATTACCTGACGACAGTACAATTATAAAAAGCGGTAGTGTTAGATGTGTATTTATTTCAAATCGATAAATTAAAACTCGACAACATAACATTATAGTTGTTTTCTACTTACGTTCATGTTCATTCTGTAAGTCCCTGTCCAGTGTGCAGGTCTCAGTGCCGCGCTGATGTTCAAACTGTTGTATTCTATTTTTGTAAATATTGCGTTAGTCAAGGAGTTGTCATTTATGTACCACTGTATGTTGTAAAGTAAGGAGCCATCTGCCGGTGGCGGAAATTGACATCTCATGACAGGCTCCAAGGTTGTCCCGTTTATAGAGGAATCTCGGGTGGCCACTACTTGTGGGGACAATGTTAGGGTTGGTGGATCAACTGTTACTGTTAATATAAAATTAAAAATCTTTAGCACTTTTCAATTTAAAGTGACATAAATATAAGATTTTACGGGGATACATATAGGACAGGTAATTACTTTTTATAAGATACCAAGAAAAAATATTGGAAGAAAACTAAAAAGTATCTCATGGAAACGAGATAATAACACATGAAGTCGACATATTATCTCGTGTAAACGATAAAATATCCTGCAAAAAGTTAAAAAGAGATTTTGTGGAAACGATATAAATCTTGTGGGCCGGGGGACAGTTAGAATATAATCTTGTGTTTACAATCGACATATAATCTCGTGAAAATAATAGTCGTTTTCACGAGATAATAATATCTCGTTTTCAAGACATTATATCCTGTTTTCACAAAACAATATCTGGTTCTATAAAATGAATACACGGTTTTATGAAATAATATCTCGTTTTCAGTGAAACATATCAAGTGATATAGAGTCGTTTTCACGGGATCATATGTCGTTTTCATAAATAATATTTCTTTATTACGAAAAAAATATCTTGTGAAAACTAGAATTTAGAAAATAAGTTGGATTCCCGGAATATTTTATTCGTTTTCCCGAGATATATTTTTGGCATCTTATACGTATCCTAAATATACCGACATAAGATTGCTTCAATTGAATCTTTGATAGTCCTTGTCTTCATACATCACGACCTCTTAAAGAGGCGCCAGGGGAAAGAGAAAATTCAGACTGACTGAATATTGATATTTCCTGAAATTTTTAAATCCAAATTCTTTATTAAAGTCTTTATTTTCCTCTTTAAACGTTCGTTGAACAAGATTTTTGGTTACGTTTCAAACAATGAAGGATTAAAAAAGAAAAAAAGGTAACCTGTTCAGATCATATATTATTGTGTAATTTGTAAAAAAAAAAAAAAAACCTTTATAACAGTGAGAATTTTTTGCTTTTATAAATTATATGATCAAACTATTTTTACCATGAATCTTGGTACATAGTTAAGATACACTGTTGACTTACGGGAGTGTGTAATCGAACATGCACTCCCATGCACAGATCGATTTTTCCACAATCATAAATAGGGCTTCCCAAATTTGTGATAACCAGACAAAATTTTATAAATAATGACAATAAAAAATATATTTATCTTTTTTTTCCTCAAATTCAAATGAGAATATCTTCTTTTCCAATATGTGTCGTGTAGTTTAATTAAAAGGAAAAACAAATTACTGTTTCTAAGTTAGGAAATACATGTGCCAACAGTCGAGTTGACAACATATATATTTTAAGATATGTCACAAAGAACGAAATCATGGTGACTAAGGTATTTAAATCTGTGTCAGGTTTAAGTTTGTTAAATATATCAAGTGAGATGAGTTTCATTCAATCAACCATTATCAACAATATAATTTTTTCATATCTATAAAAATAATTTAACAACTTTTTCATATTTTTTTCGTGTTCTTCATTTTGTTAAATGTGTCTCCTTATCAAGGTATATGATTTAAAAAGAACATGGTTCTCAATATTTCGCAGGAATAACATTTGTTTGTTTTACCAGTTCTAAAAAAGCATTTGAATTATGTTTTGCAATCGATATACACATTTTAGATTTTGAGTGTGTCCATGTGAAATTTGAGCTCTTGCCGGCAGATAAAGCTCGGAGATTTAAATGTTTTTATCGTTTTCAGAACTATTTACATGAAGACAATATCGTCAATCAAGAAATAGCTCAAGGATTCTGAATTATTGAGGAAAGTTTAAATATTTGAAATATGGAATAACAAATATGCAAAGCCTGATAGGTTTCAATTGTCTGTTTCAATCGATAAGACAGATCATTCCGATGTCTAAATTTCCTCCATTTAAATATTTAATAGCTAAACAAACAACTATTGGTTGTTACGCGACAAGCTAACTTGAAAATAGAAAATAAAATGCCATGGACACAAATGTCCTAATGTTAAGTAACCTGATCAAATATTATCTGAATATCGGTCCATGGAAAGCCCGATATTAGAACCGTGTGCTTTTTTTTATACAAACGAGGAGTTTTACATTTAATTATATTTTCAAATTCCATTTCCTTCCGTGTGTTAATTAATAAGAATTGTTTGAGTATGCTTTGTTTTCCATTGTCAAGACAAAAAGTAGACAGCAACACAATAATAATAAAATAACACAATGTAATATCTTCTTCTAATTTGGACCCAAATATATAAACTCAAGCACGACATTAAATAATTATGTAATACTTAAGAAAATATTTTAATGGAATTATAAATATATCTTTTAAAAGAAATATTGAAATCCCTACATACCTGTCGCTGATGTTGATGTCTTAATAGAAAAAAAAAGAAAAAGAAAATTTAATAATATTGAATTCTCAAAATAAACTTGGATTTTCAAAACCAATTTTAAAGTTAAAATTCTTTTATTCGTTGCATGCAGAAGTTTATAACCGATGTTAGTATTATGAAGATAATCATTATCTTGTTTGCTCTCTTCAACCTCCCCTTTCGTAAAATAGTATGTCAGTCAACTACTTACCACTACGTTTGTCGTGGTGGTAGACATGTCAAACGATGACGAACTCGTCGGAGCCAAAAACGGTGAGGATGAAATAGAAGATGATGCTGTCATCACAGAGCTTAATATTGTTGTTGATGATGTTGATTGGAGAAGATCTTGTATGGTTGACTGAATAGGTGACTGTGTCGTAAATGTTTGATCAATTGAAGAAGACATTGTTGATTGAGTGGAACTGTGTACTAATGATTGATCAGAAGACATAATGAATGATTGGAGAAAAGTCATTGATGACTGAATAGCAGAGGACATTGTCAATGATTCCATAATAGAAGTCATCGATGACTGAATAGATGACGAAATTGTTGATGATTCCATCATCGAAAAAGTCATCGATGGCTGAATAGCAGAGGACATTGTCGATGGTTCCAAATTAGAAGAAGTCATCGATGGCTGAAAAGCAGAGGACATTGTAGATGGTTCCATAATAGAAGTCATTGATGACTGAATAGCAGAGGACATTGTAGATGGTTCCATAATAGAAGTCATTGATGACTGAACAGCAAAGGACATTGCCGATTGCACCAAAATAGAAGAAGTCATTGAAGACTGGATAGCAGAGGACATTGTAGATGACTCCATAATAGAGGAAATCATCGGTGACTGAATATCAGAGGACATGGTAGATAATTGATTAAATGAAAAAGTCATTGACTGCTGAATACCAGAGTTAGATATAGATGATTGTATCATAGATGTTAAAAGATACTGGGGAGTAGAAATTGTAGATGTTTCTAGAGATGGCTGTAATAATTCTGAAGATGATGTTACTGTCGATGAGTGAAGATATGTTGAGAAATAGGAGAAGGAAACTGTTGTAAAGGAAGAGTGAACTGAGGGATATGAACTGCCTGGGTACCAGGATGTATCGGTACATGGTCCCACAGAATAAGATCCTCCGGAGAAATAGGAGCCATATTGGTCTGTATAATAGGTACAACTACTACTAGAGCTGTATGGATAATGATTGGTATCTGTGTAATAGGAACTAGGAGTTGTCCAGTGTGTGAAGCTGTTGGTATCAGTATAGGGATATGAACTGCTTGGGTACCAGGTTGTATCGGTACATGGTCCTACGGAATATGATCCTCCCGAGAAAGTGGAGCCATAGCTGTCTGTATAATAAGTACAACTACTGCTTGAGCTGTATGGATAATGATTGGTATCTGTATAATAGGAACTAGAGGTTGTCCAGTGTGTAAAGCCGTTGGTATCGGTATAGAGATATGAACTGCTTGGGTACCAGGTTGTATCGGTACATGGTCCTACGGAATAAGATCCTCCCGAGAAAGTGGAGCCATAGCTGTCTGTATAATAAGTACAACTACTACTTGAGCTGTATGGATAATGATTGGTATCTGTATAATAAGAATTAGAAGTTGTCCAGTGTGTGAAACCGTTTGTATCGGTATAGGGATATGAACTGCTTGGGTACCAGGTTGTATCGGTACATGGTCCTACGGAATATGATCCTCCCGAGAAAGTGGAGCCATAGCTGTCTGTATAATACGTACAACTACTGCTTGAGCTGTATGGATAATGATTGGTATCTGTATAATAGGAACTAGAGGCTGTCCAGTGTGAAAAGCCGTTGGTATCGGTATAGGGATATGAACTGCTTGGGTACCAGGTTGTATCGGTACATGGTCCTACGGAATAAGATCCTCCCGAGAAAGTGGAGCCATAGCTGTCTGTATAATAAGTACAACTGCTGCTTGAGCTGTATGGATAATGATTGGTATCTGTATAATAGGAACTAGAAGATGTCCAGTGTGTGAAGCCGTTTGTATCGGTATAGAGATATGAACTGCTTGGGTACCAGGTTGTATCGGTACATGGTCCTACTGAATAAGATCCTCCCGAGAAAGTGGATCCATAGCTGTCTGTATAATAAGTACAACTGCTGCTTGAGCTGTATGGATAATGATTGGTATCTGTATAATAGGAATTTGAAGTTGTCCAGTGTGTGAAACCGTTTGTATCGGTGTAGGGATATGAACTGCTTGGGTACCAGGTTGTATCGGTACATGGTCCAACAGAATAAGATCCTCCGGAGAACGTCGAACCGTAGCTGTCCGTATGATAAGTACAACTGCTGCTTGAACTATATGGATAATGATTGGTATCCGTATAATAGGAACTAGAAGTTGTCCAGTGTGTGAAGCCGTTGGTATCGGTATAGGGATATGAACTGCTTGGGTACCAGGTTGTATCGGTACATGGTCCTACAGAATAAGAACCTCCCGAGAAATAGGATCCATAGCTGTCTGTAAAGTAAGTACAACTACTACTTGAGCTGTATGGATAATGATTGGTATCTGTATAAAACGAATTAGAAGTTGTCCAGTGTGTAAATCCGTTGGTATCGGTATAGGGATATGAACTGCTTGGGTACCAGGTTGTATCGGTACATGGTCCTACGGAATAAGATCCTCCCGAGAAATAGGATCCATAGCTGTCTGTATAATAAGTACAACTACTGCTTGAGCTGTATGGATAATGATTGGTATCTGTATGATAGGAGTTAGAAGTTGTCCAGTGTGTGAAGCCGTTTGTATCGGTATAGGGATATGAACTGCTTGGGTACCAGGTTGTATCGGTACATGGTCCTACGGAATAAGATCCTCCCGAGAAAGTGGAGCCATAGTGGTCTGTATAATAGGTACAACTACTGCTTGAGCTGTATGGATAATGATTGGTATCTGTATGATAGGAGTTAGAAGTTGTCCAGTGTGTGAATCCGTTTGTATCGGTATAGGGATATGAACTGCTTGGGTACAAGCTTGTATCGGTACATGGTCCAACAGAATAAGATCCTGATGGGAAAATGATGCCAAATTGGTCTGTATAATAAGTACAGCTACTACTTGAGCTGTATGGACAATGATTGGTGTCTGTATAATAGGAATTAGAAGTTGTCCAGTATGTGAATCCGTTTGTATCGGTATAGGGATATGAACTGCTTGGGTACCAGGTTGTATCGGTACATGGTCCTACGGAATAAGATCCTCCCGAGAAAGTGGAGCCATAGTGGTCTGTGTAATAAGTACAACTACTACTTGAGCTGTATGGATAATGATTGGTATCTGTATAATAAGTGTTGGTGGTTGTCCAGTGTGTGAATCCGTTGGTATCGGTATAGGGATATGAACTGCTTGGGTACCAGGTTGTATCGGTACATGGTCCTACGGAATAAGATCCTCCCGAGAAAGTGGAGCCATAGTGGTCTGTATAATAAGTACAACTACTACTTGAGCTGTATGGATAATGATTGGTATCTGTGTAATAAGCGTTGGTGGTTGTCCAGTGTGTGAAGCCGTTGGTATCGGTATAGGGATATGAACTGCTTGGGTACCAGGTTGTATCGGTACATGGTCCTACGGAATAAGATCCTCCCGAGAAAGTGGAGCCAAACTGATCTGTATAATAAGTACAACTACTGCTTGAGCTGTATGGATAATGATTGGTATCTGTATAATAGGCGTTAGTGGTTGTCCAGTGTGTGAATCCGTTCGTATCGGTATAGGGATATGAACTGCTTGGGTACAAGCTTGTATCGGTACATGGTCCTACGGAATAAGATCCTGATGGGAAAATGATGCCAAATTGGTCTGTATAATAAGTACAGCTACTTCTTGAGCTGTATGGATAATGATTGGTATCTGTATAATAGGAATTAGAAGTTGTCCAGTATGTGAAGCCGTTTGTGTCGGTATAGGGATATGAACTGCTTGGGTACCAGGTTGTATCGGTACATGGTCCTACGGAATAAGATCCTCCCGAGAAAGTGGAGCCATAGTGGTCTGTATAATAGGTGCAACTACTGCTTGAGCTGTATGGAAAATGATTGGTATCTGTATAATAGGCGTTGGTGGTTGTCCAGTGTGTGAATCCGTTGGTATCGGTATAGGGATATGAACTGCTTGGGTACCAGGTACTATCAGTACATGGCCCTACGAAATAAGATCCTCCCGAGAAAGTGGAACCATAGTGGTCTGTATAATAGGTACATTTACTTGCGTCCTGTTGGTATTGGCTGCTGTATGTGTAATATCCGTGATGATTTGTGCTGTAATCACTGCTTCCTGTGTAATATCCCCCTGTACTATCACTGTAGCTTGATGATATCTGAGCTGATGCTGCAAATGAAGTTTTTAGTTTTTAAATTTTGCTCTAAGTACTGTATACAGGGAAATTTTCGCCCCCGTTTTTACTGCCCCTTTCTCCCTCCCCTCCTTTGTGCAAATTTAAAACGGGACGAATTCAAAGAATACGGTATAATTTTTTTTAAAGAAAACTATGACTGAGCCAGTTTAAAACCGACGCAAATTTTTTTGCAAGTGTGAGAGGGCGAAAAAAAGAATGGGAGAAATTAACCCTGTATACATTATCTGTTCTTTTGTAAAGGTTTTATTTTCTCTCACTTCTTTTTTTATATATTTTCTTGTATCTCTGTATCTATGTTTTTTTAAGTTGAAAACCCATTTTAAGTCTATTATAGGCAACACTGTAAATATTTAATGAAAAGGATCCATGTTTGGAAAAAAATGTTTTGGTTCCATTTAATGATACTTGCTAGTATGGCCTCCATACGTACAAAGTTAAGCTTTTAATTTTAAAAAATAAATCTTATTTCAAGAGAATGTTGACACTTTTTTCAATTAAAAAAAATAAAAAGACCCTGGCTTAATCGAAAAGAAAAATACTCATCAGTTATTGACAAATGTTTTCCTATCTTTCTACTTGTTCTCAGATCTTTTTATATCTATCGATGTATCTTTTTCAACAAATTAAAAACCTTAATCCTTATTTCATCTTCTACAATGTCGTATTGTGTGATGAAAAATGATAAAATGATGAATAGGCAATAAAATCTATTGAAATTTTTGTTACTGCAAAAATGTATTCCATACTTAAGTTCCATGTCAAAAATTTACAATTTTAAGTTACTACTTAACATTCTTAATAAACATTTTGACCTTTGCAGATATGATACTACTTTGAAGAACCCAATTGTAGTCAAGGTCTTACTTTCTAGGAAAAATGATTCGATTAAAACAAATAATTCTTTTATATATTTTATGGTAAATGACGCTGATAGTAAGTTTACAAATTGTTAAGAAATTGTAAACTTTCTATGATGATCAAAATTTTACATTTCTGCAACTAGTTTTAATTTTACAAAGCTATTATTCATTTAAATTCTCTTCTTGTGAAACGTTGAATAAAAAAACGAAAATGGAAGCTGTTAAGGATTTCCAATGAAGATGACTTTAGTTGTTATTTTAAAAATTTTTGACAAAAGTTTGTCTCAGCTGTCCTGAGTTTTACATTTGATTTTTTCCAAATGTATAACCCAAATAGATTATAAACAACCATGGATTTGATTTTTTCTTAATTTCTTATCAAAATAGATTATAAACAACCTTAGGTTTAATTTCCCCCCCCCCTAATTTATAACCTAGCTAAGTAGATCATAAACAACCTTAGATTCGATTTTTTTTTCGTAATTTCTAACCTAAATGGATTATAAACAACCTTGGATTTGAATTTTTATCCTAATGTTTAACCTTAATAGATTATAAACAAACTTGAATTTGATTTTTTTTCTACTTTATAACCAAATAGATTATAAAAACCTTATATTTGAATTAATCCTAATTTATAACCTGAATAGATTATTAACAACATTAGATTTGATTTTTTCCCCTAATTCATTACCTAAATAGGTTATAAACAACCTTAAATTTGATTTTTTCCCCTAATCATTAACCTTAATAGATTATTTAAAAAAACGTTTGATTTGATTTTTTCCTAATTTATAACCTAAATAGATTATAAACAGCCTTATATTTGATATTTTCAGACTTTGTAGACTCAATAGATTATAAACAACCTTAGATTTGATTAAATGAAATATATGAAATTAATTTTGATTAAAACTACTCACCAAACTGGGAGGATATAAGGAATATAAGAACAAACACGTGATCCATCTCTGCAAGAAAACATACAATATAATTAAAAAAGTATTAAAAAAATAGAAAAGTATTACACACGGCATAAAAAGCTCTTCATGATATGTTATATATTTTTAAATATTCTACAGATAAAGTTTGTCCAAATTTTGATGAGTTCAAGTTTTATAAAAAGTTTTACTATTCAAATATTGGAAGGAATATTTATTAACAAGACTATTATCAAGTTCAATCGGCATACATTTTATCTAGATAAGACCATTTTTCAAATTTATATTATTACTTAAAATTTCTCTTGTGTCAGTAGGTACGCGCATCAAACGTAAGTTTTGCACAAAATCATCAGTTGATGTGCCATTGAAATAATCTGTAATACAGTAATAGTGAAAATGCTTCTAAACAGTGAAGTACGAAAATAATGGAATATTTTAGGGTGGAGTTCTCTTGATATTATTCATTCAGACTGATGTTTGGAAAATAGAAAGAATGCACTGTTTTTTTTTCTCTTGGTGTTTATTCTATTCGAGGCATGAAGCTGATTTCAATTTGTGTCATACGATATAACATAACTTGGGATAGTTTCCTCTTGATAAACGGCTTGAAGTTCTTAAAAAGCGTAAACTGCTCAAGTTTTGTTATATCGTATAACATAAATTGAAATGAGCTTCATTTCTTGTAATCTAATTTCAGTATAGACAATGAGACAATTTTTTTCTCCAGAAAAATGCTTCAAATTAAGCATATTTTAAAAGTAACGTCAAGCTGGGTAATACGTTTTTGATGTAACTCATTGTGATGTAGGCAACTTGTGTTATACGAAATGGATTGAATCTTTAATCAAATGACGTGTTACAACTAAAATAAAATTATTTATGTTTAAAACAGACTTAAAATGAAGAAAAGAGCAGCTAAAATCAAAATAAAACTTGAGTTACCACAATAAAAATCCAATCAGTAATTGGAATTGACGTTTTCAAATACATTCACTAGAAAATATTCAACATTTAAATGTAAGTTTAATTCTAAATACAGACTACCAAATTAATATCAAGTTTTTTATTATTTTTTAATTAAAATTGCGCATCCTATTATTTTCTCCCACATAGGACTGGAATGTAATGAAAGTGAATAAGGCCGGGTCTTCAAAACTTATCTGTTCCTTAATTAAACGTAAACATGGAATATGGGCGTAAAGTATTTGATTTCAAAGTCATTACTGTATGAAGGAGAGATGCATGAGCAAATACATACTGAAAAGTTAGTAGAAAGACTGTAGATTGTATTCAAATGTATAAAATTCCTTTTATGGGCTAGAAATGATCCAGGCAAGTATCCTGGAAAACACAAATCAACTTTTAGCAAAAAAAAACCTTTAGATGTCTAGAGAAAAACAAAATCTATTGAATGTTTTGGTGGTTTGAACTGCTTGCCGTTTTCATTGATTAAAAGTAGAAGATGAGAAAACTTGATTATTTCTGTTTTCCTGAGATAAGATAATACGATTATATTTATCTAAAGTCGGGTAAATCTAAAGAAACATTAGCTTTGAAGAGCTTTTTTCCGACCGAGGATTTATCCCTATAAATGTATCTCTAAGTAGATATAATTCTTTTTGAATTTCAAAGTTTTTTCACCCGATTTTTATGAATTTCCGTATATTTGCTTACCTTATTTCCCCATAGCAAAAACCATTGATCTGAAATTACAATCAACAGCATGAAATTTTGAAATAACGGTGTATAGTCCTCTACCGCTAAGTTAAATTGATACTCAAAAATAATTACTCAATGATCTTTTTCACAAAGAGGCCCTGTCCAATGAAATCAATACAAACTTACGTGCCCGATGCCTAGTTTAAAGAGCAGCATTCTCCTCCCGTCTTATTGTCAGTGACATTGGGAGCAGAACGGAACATGCCGACTAAAAACTGTTTTTATCTTTTATGTTTTTAAATGGATCGTTTTCATGATTTTGAGGCAGGCCGCTTTATAAACTATAAAACCGAAATTGTATAGCAAATACAAAAGGAATACAACTGTAATCAAATTACAAATTTGAAATAGCCTTATGAAATTTAAATTTTTCATTTCAATATAGACTCTGAAATTACATTAATTTTCTTAATAATGAATGATCTCTCAAAATAAGACAACAGAGTGTACACTTTAAAAAATGCCCGCTTAACCTTGTCTTAATTAAAAGGGACATTTAGGAGAGTTTTATTAACACCGGTTGATGCAGCTTTGCATTCAATATACCGTCAATCAAATAATAAAAAAAGAGAAATTTTTGGGTTTTATAGATTTTAAGTCGAAAATTTTCTTTAAGAATTCTGGAATTAAATGATGGTTTGTTTGACTTGACCTAATACAATGGTTGTTAATGACACCCAACTCGGGGTTAAATATTGCTCTTAATTCACCTTGCTCACAGTCTGCCGCACAGCTACACGGATGGAATTCTTCGATGTGCTTATTAATTGATTCAGATAGAATAACCGTCAGGCAACCATTATGGAAACAATTACATCTGTTCTTTCCCATATTTGATTTTAAATTAAAATGTTTTATCACCATTCAAAACAGATGTGAAAAGATAGAAAGCAATTATTTCAATCAATATGTATTCTGTTTAATATAGAATACCGTTTATTCCGTGGTCTCTTTTACACTGAAATATAGAGATATCGACCAGTTATTAAGCTCATGCGTTCATAAAAGCATCAAAAATCGTAAAAAGAGCAATCACGAACCTATATATAGGCATCAGAAACGGGATCAGGTGCAATAGAGGAGTAAGCATTCCTGTCGACTGGTCAAACACAGATGTGTTCTTTCTCATTTTGGGAAAAACTGAAAGTCGAAATAAGCATATGGTGACCAAACTTGGTACCCTGTACGATCTTCTTCATTTATTGAATTGTTAGATCACTATTAACGTCATTTTTATTGATATATCCATTAGTAGAACAATTTGTTGCCATTAAAAGTAAAAAAAAGAAAATTTGAAAAAAGGTTTGAATGAATCGCTAACAATGGTTTGAAAAATAATTCAAAATTTTTCTTGTCTTAAATTTACAATAAGTTCATACAATTAATTTTTGCTCATCAAAATAAATGCAAGAACTTTTATTTTATTTTATTTTTCTTGGTACTTAAATGTCAATTATTTTAAGCTTTATTCATGGGCACAGATGAGAAGATTTAGGTATTTATTTTAGCAAGGCAACAAAAGAAAGTATTATTTTATGAAATGTTATTAATCAACAATAGTTACTTCTACATTTATCCCAGTAAATTTTAAATAAATGGTACTACAAAGTCTCACACATCTATTTCAAGTATACTGAAAGGAAAAAGAAACGCATAATAAACTTTTGAATAAAATTAAAACTTTTATTTCCAATATGTTTTCCAGTATTGTTATCAAACATTTTAATTCAACTTTAAACAACAAGTAACCGAAATCTTGTGTGACTTTGACTGATAATTCCTGAGTTATTGAAATTGATAAATCGATACCCCCCAAAATTAAAATAAAATTCTCATCATCTCCCTTGCACATCAGTAACAGTCTTGATTTTCTTGTGCGTTGAGTTCCCCAGAGCATTTATCTTTCTCAAGGATTATCATTAAAGCCTTCCGATGGTAGTCTTAATAGTTGAGAGTAGCTGTATTATTCCAAAGCTAACAAATCCCCCCGCCAAATGAATCCCACGAATTTTCGATTTAGGATAGAATTTACTGAATCTAGCTGATTTGGTACACGTGAATGTTTGTAAGGAAGTATCGACAAACACTGGCTACATTTTCTCAGCGTGAACATGCTAAAATCAATAAGCATACGGCGCGTACGTGCGTGTGTGAGAGTAAAATCGATGTAAAGTTGCCAAGCTTGCGTACCAAATTAGAGCAGAGAGTTTCTGTCAGTATTAGGGTGAAAATATGAGTAGGATTGCCTGCTGTAAAAATATCGGTTTCAGTGATAATGACTTGACAATAACCGAGGTAGCATGATGAAAAGGCCTATCTTGATGTGACGTTGTTACGCGCCAACGTCACCTTCATGGTTGGTTGGAAACCTTTTAAGTTACTCCCTGACAACCGAAAAAACTTTTTTGGTTGAAAGGTTAAAAACAAACTGCACAGCAACATGTTGTTGCCTTTTTATTCACTTATGCAACTCAATTAGTAGACCCAGTGTAACTTACGTCAGCCATACCATGATTGCAAGAAATTTATACTGACTGCAAATATCGGAAAACGATGTCTATAACTCTAATGCATCTCTTGGCACTACAAAATGTGATCACAAAATTTTCATCATCAACATGCACGTGTATCTGGCTTTTTATCACTTCCCCTACGTTACATCATGCATTTCATGGTTGAGTAATTTTGACCTGCGATTTTAGTGCACAGTAACCAAAATACACATCTGACCAATTTTCATAATTTTCGGCCACATAGTTAAATATTTTTCGCTATTATGCTATTATGCGTTTCTTTTTCCTTTCAGTATATTTACTTTGAAATTGTCGGTTTCTGTCTTAAATTTACATTTGTTATTTCGGCTTGAAATAACCAAAATAAAAATAACCTGTTTTTAAAACACAATGAATGTTTGCTGTAATATTTAAAATTTAATCAAGATCGAGTCTTTAAATTAATGCATCTTGCATCTAAACATGCCATTATGCAATATCAACTTTACACAAATTTTATGTTTGAGCGATTCTTGAATTTTAAAGAACATTTTCAGTCATATCTGTGAATGGTTTCAACGTTTGTTATTTCTAAAATTATCGATGCATGCCATCCGCTGTGTATGCAAACACAAGGGTTTAATAATAATAATAATAATAATAAAAACAACCAATTGGTCCATTGGTAGCAACACTCACCTGAGTAACTAAAGTTCCTTTTGCTTTCTCTCCTATTTATTACTATTATATATAGCATCTTAGACTCGATTCCTTTGTGCCTTAATGCCACTGAATCGAGAGAGATTTGGATTCTAATTTGGTTGTTTTCATCATTGTACCTCTATGAAACTTCCGAATTTGAACTTATTTTTTCTCAGTCAGAATGGATTGATTAATAGTCTAACAATTGTTTTCTAAACAGTGTACATGTTTTCCTATGTAAAACTTTTATCGTCCATTGTGGCAACAAACTACCTTTTTGAGCATGATTTAAACAAATTTTAAGATACACATCATAAGGATTTGTCCATGTAAATAGGATTAAACATGGCTTTGTTGTTCTTGGACAGAAGATTTTTGAACATTTTCCTACATTCAAATATAAAACTTCGATCGCTCATTGTGGCACAATCCTGATGGTTTTTTAATAAAATATGTTTGAATGATAGCGATATCGAATAATTTTTGAGAACTACATAAAAATGTAAATAAATTAACAAAATTATCGATAGACAACATACAGACTATGATCAGGAAATCTCCTTTGAATTATATGCATTGGCTCAGGTGGACTAAAAACTTAACAAAAATAGAAATGATTCAGGATATTGGAAAATCAAGACGTTACGATTGAGCGAAGTCAGCAACTATTGAATGACATTTAAAGGACACAAGAATATCTATGTATTACCGAGATACTAGTATATATCGAGGTTTGAACTGAAGGATATAAAAGAAAAAAAAATTCTCTATTGCAACATAAATGTGTTCTTCAGAAATGGCGTTCCAGCTTAATTTTTTAATACTTTACTGGGTCAGAAAAGTAATGCTTTATGTTGTGCAAATATCTTTATGACAGTATAAACTTGATTTTCTTGTTGTTTTACTTTGCATTCTTAAAATTTCATCCTTAATCAAGCCTGTAAAGTTAACTATTGAATTCCTTTGATCGATAATTAAAGAACATTCATTCATTCCCCTCCCTTGAAAATATATATAAAAAAATAATAATTATCAAAAAAAAACACATTCCTAATAAAACATACATTTCATGGTGATAAAACTATATTTTAAAATAAAAGATGACTTCATTGTAGATCTTTTTATATGAGTATCCATTTCATTTGAGTATGATTCTTACGGTTAAATATGTTGCGAGAAACTAAGATTGATAAGTTCTAGTAATAAATGTCTTGATAACAAAATAATTCATATTATGAACCAGATCTTATGTTCCGAATAAAGCTTATTATGAAACCAGATTTTCAAAAATCTTTTCCAAAAAAAAAAACAATTTATCGAGATGATTTTTTTCAGAATATTTATATCGACATAGCCAGAGTTGATTGACAAAATATGCAGTGGTCAGACATTGATAGAAATACACCAGTTCTGTGTATTTCATACGTAAATGATATTTGCAAACGACGACCATTTTAAGATACCAATCAAAATTAGTTTCATTTATCAAGGGGTGCTGTGTACCATGAACCTTGGCCCTGAATAAAGAAAATGACATGATTTTTCCTTCTTATCCTGCAGAGATAGGAAAATTTGAGATGTTTGTGCATGTTTTTTCTCTATTTTATAGGGAAAAAATCTTATATATTTACAATTCTTGCCAGTATGCACTTTTCCCATTGAAGAAATTCCATTCTACCCTTCTACATGCTGTATCATGAAAACAGTTGAATAATTTAAGCATTGGTAATGTCTATATTTAGCTTTGAACACCACCCGTAGCTGTTTCGAGAAAATATGATCGGGGAACGATAATGTTAAAATATGTTATGACAGTTAAGGTGCGTAGACGCCCACACGGCTTGTTCTGGGAATTCCTACACAGTTTTGTTAACTCACCATAGACTCTTTCAAGGTCTTTTGTCTTTGTGAACAACTTCTTGAAAGTGAATTCACCTGTCACGGTAAACTATTCAATTTCTCTGGTGAAAATGATTGTATAACAGAATTTGTCCAAAAGCCTATACCTGAAAAGAAGAAAACA